TTCTTCCATTTTCGCGTTAGAAATGAGCATCTGTCTCAAATGCTTGAGGAGGCCAGCCCAAGTAAATGTGCTGTATGCCAGTGAATTCTCAGACATCTGAGGAATGTTACGAACACCCAGCATCTTGAATTCTGGATGGGGAACTAAATTCTCCATTAAGTCTCCTGCAAAGAAAAAAAATCTGAACTCAATTCTTAAATTCCATGTTATTTCCGCTGGCTCATATACAACCATGAGTGGATGGCTCGCGGGGACCAAATGTGTTTTCTCCTCCAAGGCTAAAACTGCTTAAATTTCAAAGCATAAATTCAATTTCAGAGACAATATGTATGAATGCTTGATTAATGCTAATGCTTAATCAACTAATGCTTGGTTTTGGCACCTATTTTAGCATGAATGAAAAAAAACACACTTTGCCAAAAGGAAACAATAATTTTTTTTAGTTAAGAACTGGGAAATGTGAATGAAATATTTAGCTAAACCTCAGGAAAACAAAGTAAGCATTAGAGGTAATATAATTTTATTGTCATTCTGTGTTCACTAAATGCCCCCTTAGAAATTTTCTTAGATCTCTTATTTATTTGGTTAAATGATAATCAGAACCTCTTAACATTAAACTCTACCTGGAAAGAAGAGAGGATTAGTAATTCTTGAATACAGGAATATGTCTATCTTTAGAACCTTATGCTTGTAATGAAAGAGAATGAAGGAGAAAGGTTACTTTGTTTTTCACTCAGAGCTTACTTATTTTAAAAATGTTTTTATCTTTTTAATGTATCATATATATATTTTATATATTTATAGAAAATACTCTTTTCTAAAGGAGAAAGAAAAATCTTTTACCATAACATGAAATTTAAATCTTATGGGGACTTCCCTGGTGGTCCAGTGGCTAAAACTCCATCTCCCAGTGCAGGGGAACTGGGTTTAACCCCTGGTCAGCAAACTTGATCGCACATGTGGCAACTAAAGATCCCACGTGCCACAATGAAGATCGAACATTCTGCGTGCCACAACTAACAGCCTGCACAGCCACATAAAGAAATAATACTAAAGAATAAATTTTATGATAACGTGGAATGCAAACTCATAGCCTATGTCCTAATGTTAAGAACAAATTCTGACGCAAACATCTATAAAATGTTGCACAAATCGATCTTATGGCTAGTGGCATTTCCTCTAAATATAAGAAGCCTTTTCTGTAAAGTAGCCAGAGCTGAATTCTATCACATAGCACGTACAACAAAAAACAATCAGCAAATAATTCCTGAATTCTAACGCATAGATTGTTAAAAATCTGCATTTCCCTCCAGCTTTCTTGTTCACCTAGTCTCATCTCAACCATTCTTGGCCATTCTTGTGGGGACAGTTTGTGTCCCCACAAATATTTTTTTTAGTTAAGAACTGGGAAATGTGAATGAAATATTTAGCTAAACCTCAGGAAAACAAAGTAAGCATTAGAGGTAATATAATTTTATTGTCATTCTGTGTTCACTAAATGCCCCCTTAGAAATTTTCTTAGATCTCTTATTTATTTGGTTAAATGATAATCAGAACCTCTTAACATTAAACTCTACCTGGAAAGAAGAGAGGATTAGTAATTCTTGAATACAGGAATATGTCTATCTTTAGAACCTTATGCTTGTAATGAAAGAGAATGAAGGAGAAAGGTTACTTTGTTTTTCACTCAGAGCTTACTTATTTTAAAAATGTTTTTATCTTTTTAATGTATCATATATATATTTTATATATTTATAGAAAATACTCTTTTCTAAAGGAGAAAGAAAAATCTTTTACCATAACATGAAATTTAAATCTTATGGGGACTTCCCTGGTGGTCCAGTGGCTAAAACTCCATCTCCCAGTGCAGGGGAACTGGGTTTAACCCCTGGTCAGCAAACTTGATCGCACATGTGGCAACTAAAGATCCCACGTGCCACAATGAAGATCGAACATTCTGCGTGCCACAACTAACAGCCTGCACAGCCACATAAAGAAATAATACTAAAGAATAAATTTTATGATAACGTGGAATGCAAACTCATAGCCTATGTCCTAATGTTAAGAACAAATTCTGACGCAAACATCTATAAAATGTTGCACAAATCGATCTTATGGCTAGTGGCATTTCCTCTAAATATAAGAAGCCTTTTCTGTAAAGTAGCCAGAGCTGAATTCTATCACATAGCACGTACAACAAAAAACAATCAGCAAATAATTCCTGAATTCTAACGCATAGATTGTTAAAAATCTGCATTTCCCTCCAGCTTTCTTGTTCACCTAGTCTCATCTCAACCATTCTTGGCCATTCTTGTGGGGACAGTTTGTGTCCCCACAAACTCCCAAACTGAAATCCTTCCCTCCAAGGTGATGGCTTTAAGGAGGCGATGGGGTCTTGGGAGGTCTCTTTATGAAAGACCCCAGAGAGGCCTCTCGTCCCTTGTGCCATGTGAGGACACAGTGAGAAGATGGCCACCTGTGAAGATGGCTCCCAATCAGCTCTTCACAGGCAGTCTGCGGATTTTTCACAAGGTGATCATGCCAACAACCTCCTTAAAATCCCCTGCTCTTAGACTAATGAGGTGGCCTTCACATGCTTACAGGGACCTCCCAGGTCGGCCCCTGCTCGCTGCCCGAGCCTCAGGTGTCAGTCATCCCCTGCACCATTTTCTGTGCTCCAGTGACGCTGGATTTTTCTCTGTTCTTAAAGGGCCCTGCTTCCTTCTGCCACAGGGCCTTTGCACGTGCTATTCCTGTCTTCCTCCCTTGGCTTAGTTAACTCCAAGTCTTCATTCAGCTTTGTGCTCAAGTGTTAACTTCCTCAAGGGCTGACTTCTTTGCCTCATCAGCCTGAGTCTGGTTCCTTCGTGACACATTCTCTTGGGTCTGTACTCCTTTCCTTCAGAGCACTTAACTCAGTTTTTAATTACACCTTCTTGGCATAATTGTTTAGTGTGAATACAACGTCTACATTGGTTCCTCACTGGATCCCCAACATTTAGCATAGTGTCTGGCACATAGCAGGAAGTCAGTAAATACTGGTTGAATGAACAGATGTGCCATATGGTAAGTACTGTGGAATGCACAGAAATTAACAAGACACATGTCGCCAAGGAAGTTGCAAATTAGTGGGGACTACAAGACATGCACGTGACGGACTCCTCCAAGGAAACACATGACGCTAATTACAGTGGCAGCACCTGGGAGGAGTCAGCGGGTGACTTACTTTTGATTGCATATTCTTTTGTACTCCTTGAATAAACATGTGTGTGTGTGTCTGTAACTCTTAAAGATAAGCAAACACACTTAAAGAAATAATAAAGGCAAAAAACAGTAAGTAACATAAAAGAGGTACAGAATAGAGTACAGGGGTGAAGAACTTGCCTGCCAATGCAGAAGATATAAGAGATGTGGGTTCGATCCCTGGGTCAGGAAGATCTCCTAGAGGAGGGCTTGGCAACCCACTCCAGTATTCGTGCCTGGAGAATCCCATGGACAGAGGAGCCTGGCAGGCTATAGTCCATAGGGTCGCAAAGAGTTGGATATGACTGAAGTGAGCATGCACACACAGGAGTTCAGAGGTGGAGGGTTACTTTAGGTAAAGGTCTCAGTAGAAAAGCTTTATGAAAAATTATCACTTGGGACTTCCCTGGTGGTCAAGTGGCTAAGACTCCACACTCCCAATGCAGGGAGTTGGGGTTCAGTTCCCAGGCAGGGAACTGCACTAAAGATCCTGCATGCCTCAACTAAGACCCGGGGCAGCCAAATAAACAGTAGAAAAGAAAAAAAAAATTATCACTTGAATTGGATCCTAAAGGATGAGTAAGGTTTCAGTAGAGGTGGAGGGAAGCAGGAAGTGATTTTTAAAGAGGAAACCCCGAGCCAAAGGACCAAAGCAGGAAAGTTCCAGACTGAAGACAGAAGTGGAGACAGGATAAAAAGCAAGTGCGGAATCTATGCAGAGGAGGCAGAAGGTGACGAAAATGGAAAGTTAAGACTCAGGGCAGAATGCGGAGGCCAGGCTAAGGAATTAGGGCAAATCCAGCAGGTGATGCGTGAGCCGCAGAATGAGGGTTGAGTAGAATACAAGGTTAGATCCGTGCCTTGGGGAGCCTCACCGGGGTCAGTGTGTGAGGTGGACTGATGCCGGGGCGAGGGGGTGGGGGGGAGGCAGGCAACAGGAAGGGAAGCAGGGTTAGGACCACCTTAAGCCAGGGATGTCCATGTGGCTGCGAGCTTCTGTTTTTATGAAACAGAGACAGAGAGAAAGAGAGAGAGGCAGAGATTGAGAATAAAAAGAACTTTGTATTCAGGGGGAGCATGCAGTATCAGTTAAGAGATGCTGACCAAGTGAACCAATGTCAGAGAGACAGGGAAGCGGGAAAGAATGCAGACAGCTGGGAGAGAGGGCACCAACAGGTCTGAGCATATGATGAGATAAGAGGACAGGGGGAGAAATTCAGGCGACAAGAATGGGGGAAGTGCGGGAGGGGAGGCAAGCCGGGGAAAAATGATGAGTCCATTCAGAGCATGCTCAATTTGAAGAAGCAGATGCAACTAAGAAAATTGGGATAGGCAACTATTTGGGAAAGAGGGTAGGACTGAGAGGTATAGATTCCTGGGTCCTTTGCATCTGGATGGTTTGAATGGATAAAGCACCACTTGACAAATAAGCCGAAAAAAGAGTGGTGGGTTTTATTACAGAGTGATGAAAATGATGGTTGTGCCACTCTGTGAATATGTTTGAAAACACTGAAGTGTGTATTTTAAATGGGTGAGTTGTATGGTATGTGAATTATATCTCAGTTATTTTTTAAAATAGGGAAGAAAATAAAAAGAAAAAGAAGAGAAAGGGTCCTGAAGAATGGAATCAGTGGAAGGTTCTGAAATGAGGGAGATGTGAGTGTATCTTCAGGTAGAGGGGAGAGCCAGAGAAGAGCAGCTTTGAGGCTTTCACAACATCAGACTTCTCTACAAATAACCCACAGGGGCACAAATACCTAGTGGATTTCTCCTGTAGTGAAATGAGCCTTCCCTGGAGTAAGTAGGCTGGAACACACTTCCCAGCTGATGTGCGAGGACTTGATTTATATCACAGAAGGAGATCTGCTTGATATTCATCAGCTTCGCACAGATCTTATGAACAGCATCATTCTCATGAACAAGGAGGGCGTCTGAAGATCGGTACAAGTGAGAAAGTGTCAAAATGGAGTTGTAGTTCTGAACAATAACCTGGAGAGGAAAAGGCCACAAATAAGGAAGGTAGGAGAAGGACTTCCCTGGTAGTCCACTGGCTAAGACTCCACGTTCTCAATGCGGGGGGCCAGGGTTCGAGCCCTGGTCAGGGAACTAGATCCCACATGCTTAGCCACAGCTAGGATCTGGAGCAGCCAAATTAATAAATACTGAAAAAAAAAAGAAAAAAACGTAGGAGAGAATAGCCGTTAAGAGGGCATTCTGCTGCTAAGTCGCTTTAGTCGTGTCTGATTCTGTGTGACCCCATAGACGGCAGCCCACCAGGCTCCACCATCCCTGGGATCCTCCAGGCAAGAACACTGCAGTGGGTTGCCATTTCCTTCTCCAACTCGTGAAAGTGAAGTCGCTCAGTCGTGTCCAACTCTTCGCGACCCCATGGACTGCAGCCTACCAGGTTCCTCTATCCATGGGATTTTCCAGGCAAGAATACTGGAGTGGGGTGCCATTGCCTTCTCCAAAGAGGACATCCTACCTAGGTTCAAATCCTGGCTCTTCCACTTTCCAGCTATATAATCTTAGATAAGTTACATAATCTCTCTATGTCTCAGTTTCCTCATTTGTAAAATGGGGATAATAATTATACCAGCCTCTTAAGAGTTATAAGAATTAATGACAGAATACCAGTAAAGCACTTAGAATGGTGCCCTGTGTATAGTAAGGCTTCAGTAAACGATGACTATACTATTACTATCACTATTACTATCATACTTTCTACATCATTTCCTCCTGTGACTTATTTCATCTCCGTTTTATTATTTCTCCTACTAGGCTGATCTACGGCAAATTGGCCTGCATAGAAATTCCTTTCAATGGAAAGAAATGAAAATTCTCTGAAGGTTGGCAATGGCAGGATGAGGTCAAGGTCCCTGCTTTACAGGCAGTAGCCAGAGGGACTGACCCAGGAATGGGTTTCTGAGAGAAGATGCACAGTTTTCTTCTTTGGAATATTTATAAATAAGGACACCTCATTTGCTTGGGAAAGTTTAAACAAAGTTACACGAATTGTTTATGAAAGTACCATACTGTATACTCACTCCTGACACAATAACTTAACATTTCCAAAGAAAGGATGAGATAGATCTTTTACATACATTTGTTTTAATTGCAAAGAACACAGAAATTTTTTAATTGATACGTTCATACCTCACCAGTTCCATAAGGCCATATAATGTGATTCATTTTCAAAGCACTTGAGTACTGATCTTGTAAGTTCTGAGTAACGAAGGCTCCTAGCCCGGATCCGGTGCCTCCAGCCATACTCATTATGATGAAAAAGCCACTCAAAGAATCGCATTTCTCCACTTCCTTCTGAATTAGGTTCATTATAGATTCTTTATGCCTGGGTCCATGAACAGAGTATCTATGAAGTGCAAAACAAACATCTTTCAATTTAACCAGAGAGATGGATTGCAGAGAAAGGTACAGGAGAGAGAAGGCTTTCTAAACCTATGTAAGTGAACTACCTCTCATGAGACATACAGGCACCCTGAGAGACCAAATTTTATATACACAAGTGAAGGGGACTTCCTTGGTAGTCCAGTGGTTAAGATTCTGTGCTCCCAAAGTAGGGGGTACAGGTTGGATCCCTGGTTGGAGAACTAAGATCTTGCATGCAAAGGAGAATGGCCTAAAGATAACAACAATAATAAGATGCACACACACAAAAAATGAAAAAATAGAAGAAGAAAATAATAAGATATGCAAGTCAAACATTTTTTAAAAGTGAATAGGACTGTTAGGAGAGTAAATTTACTGGGCATAGGTAATTCTCTTTAATAGGCTATTCCTTTGGCTAGAATTACCAGGTTGTTCTAAAGATTCAGTTCCGTTCAGTTCAGTCACTCAGTCGTGTCCGACTCTTTGCAACCCCATGGACTGCCGCATGCCAGGCTTCCCTGTCCATCACCAACTCCCAGATTTCCTCAAACTCATGTCCATCAAGTCGGTGATGCCATCCAACCATCTCATACTCTGTCATCCCCTTCTCCTCCCACCTTCAATCTTTCTGAGCCTCAGGGTCTTTTCCAATGAGTCAGTTCTTGGCATCAGGTGGCCAAATTCTTGGAGTTTCAGCTTCAACATCAGTCCTTCCAATGAATATTCAGGACTGATTTCCTTTAGGATGGACTGGTTGGATCTCCTTGGAGTCCAAGGGACTCTCAAGAGTCTTCTCCAACACAATTCAGAAGCATCANAGCATCAATTCTTTGGCGCTTAGCTTTCTTTATAGTCCAACTCTCACATCCATACATGACTACTGGAAAAACCATAGCTTTGACTAGATGGACCGTTGTTGACAGAGTAATGTCTGCTTTTTAATATGCTGTCTAGGTTGGTCATAACTTTTCTTCCAAGGAGCAGGCGTCTTTTAATTTCATGGCTGCAGTCAGCATCTGCAGTGATTTTGGAGCCCAAGAAAATAAAGTCTCTCACTGTTTCCACTGTTTCCCCATTTATTTGCCATTAAGTGATGGGACCAGATGCCATGATCTTAGTTTTCTGAATGTTGAGTTTTAAACCAACTTTTTCACTGTCCTCTTTCACTTTCATCAAGAGGCTCTTTAGTTCTTCTTTGCTTTCTGCCAATTGGGTGGTGTCATCTGCATATCTGGGTTATTGATATTTCTCCCAGCAATCTTGATTCCAGCTTGTGCTTCATCCAACCCGCAATTTCACATGATGTACTCTGCATATAAATAAGCAGAGTGACAACATACAGCCTTGACAAACTCTTTTGTTGATTTGGAACCAGTCTGTTATTCCAATCTACTCCAGTATTTTTGTCTGGGAAATCCCATAGACAGAGGAACCTGGTGGGCTACCATCCATGGGGTTGCGAAAGAGTCAGACACAATTAAGTGGCTAAAGAACAACGTTTAATACATCAACTGTGCAGTTATAACTACCCTATTAATCAACTGTGCAGCTGTATCTAAACTGGAAAGCTTGAGGAATTATTCTTACCCATAGGCCCAGTTGTTTCCAGAACCTTGTTTTTGACAGAAGCATGAATGCTGGCCATATTTCCACCGGCCAGAACGGGCAGCTTTTGACAGTGTTTGACTGATAACCTTACGTTCCATGTCAACAAGGACAGCACGAGCAACTGGAACTAGAGAGGGAAAAAAAGATCAAAAGAAAAATAATGCATATAATCTTATTTGGGGTAACTCAGAGCATACACTTCTCTAAATTAAAAAAATTAAAAAATGCAAAGACTGAGAATAGAAAGATCTGCCATTCTGCTTAGAAACTGAGGTGGGCAGCAGCAGGGATATGCAGATGGTTCACAATGCCCAGCATTCTGCTAGGCAGGGTGAATAAATATGGGCTAAAATGATGACTGGGTCAAGTTGACAAACATCTGTTGAGTGCTTGTAATGTGCTATGTACTATGCTAAAAACACACAGATGAAGACAGTATCAATCCAGCCCAAGGAGAAGCAGAGAGGGAAGTAAAACACATCAACATTTAATCATGAAGTGATGTGATAGGACCCAGAACAAATTCACACTAAGAGAGGAGCATATTCAGAAGTACAAAATATCAAGGGCACAAAAAGCATCTCAGGATTATTGAAGCAGAAGATGGAGAAAGGGGGTGTAGGAAATGATGGACAGGATGGAAAGCAGGCAGGGCTCAGATATTATAAGTCCTAACATACAATGCTAAAAACCTTGAAACTTGTTTTTCAGGCAATAAGGAACCACTGAAAACATTCAAGTACGAAAGGAATAGTCATATGTCTTTTTTTAAAATGTCAGATGTCTTTATTATTTTTTAAACAGCTTTTTACTACATTTATTTCTTTACTTATTGTTAAGTAAGTTTAAGTTAAGTACTTCTTGTTAAGTAAGTAAGCAAGGCATGTGGGATTGTAGTTTCCCAACCAAGGATAGAACTGGCACTCCCTGCAGTAGAAGTGTAAAGTTTTAACCACTGGACCAGCAGGGAAGTCCCTCAGATGTCTTTTTGAATACAGCAGTGTGGAGGACAGATGCAATAGACACAAGAGACCAGGCAGGGAAACTCAGAAGGAGTGTCTTGAAACAATCCAGATGAGGAAGGACAAGAGCCAGAACTAAGGCAATGATAGCGAAGATGGAAAGGGGAGAGGAGTTTCAAGGGACATGTAGGAGATAAACTAAGCAGATCTGAATGTGGGCAGAAAAAACAAAGTTTTAAGGGAAAAACAATGCATGCCCTTGGGTATGGAGATGTTGAGTCTGAGGTACACATGAGAGACACAGGTGATGTTCACTAATCAGTCTGCAGCTTGGAAGAGATGCTAGGCTACAGATTTGACAGTAACCTGTGTTAAAGATGGAGCAACATTTGAGAGTCACTGAGCTTGCCCAGAGAGAACTATACAAGTGAGGAAGACGCTGAGATGCAACCACTAGAAAAGAAAAGTTCAGTGACTAAGAAAAATTAGTCTCAAGGAGGGAGTTTTATAGCTAATGTTATCAAATCTGGTAGAGAAGTTAAGTGAATTAACAAAAAGAAAAACAGTTACTGGCTCTAGTAATTAGGAGATCACTGGGAATTTTTCATGGGACAGCTTCAGTGGTATTGTAAAGCAGAAGCAGGATTATAATTGGTAAAGAGGGTTCTCCTTTGAGAATCTTAGATGAGAAGGAAGGAAAAAAGCTACAGTCAAGAGCTAAGTTTTATTTGGTTGGTTGGGTTTAGATTGGCAAGATCTGAGCAAGCTCATGGCCTGAGGACAAGATGTCACTGGAGAAGGAAAGCTTAACACAAAAACAAAGGGCTGAGAACAAAATCATTCTGCTGCAAGATGGAGGGGATTCAGACTCCATGTGCAGGGCCTGGCCTTGAAGAGATTGGTTATGTGGACCACACATACCTCCATTTTCCTCCTCACTGAAGAACCTTTCTTTGCAAGATGCTTGATATGCCTCATTCTCCCTTTTAGAGCAGTGTCCAGGACAGTGTGAGTCATTAAATAAAGCATCAAACACTTCAAAACCAATCTGATTGCCACACTGACCAAGCTGCACTGTTACTATTGACATGCTGAGAAACAAACCAAAACAAACTCCTTCGAAAAATCGAGGAACCTGTAATAGAAAAAATATGGTCTTAGAGAACCAGCACATTACTAACAAAGAACAAAATATGTTAACACACATCAATAAAAATATATAATTTGCAAATACTATATATAGACAAAATAGCTACGTTGTTTAAGGAGCCAATCATTCAAGGAAACTGTTCTTTTTCTCTATATGGTTTTGGGATTTGGGACTGCTGTACCCAAATCCATTCATACACAGCTCAATAGTTTCCAAAATCTCACGTGTAATCGCAATTTTCTAAGCATGGTGTTTAAAACAAACAAAACAAAGTGAATTCTGATTGAAGTAATTCATAGTATCCACTTCACACCAAAGGGACATAGAAAATGCAGAGGTGAGCTCAACGGTAGCACATTTAATTAACATTAATTTTCTCGCTTTTAAATAATTATTTCTCTCTCCACCAATCAACTTTCTGTACTGGTAAATACATAACACTTAACAAGAAAGTCTTTGTATTTAGCTCAGATAAGACAGCAAGGAAGACGAGGCTTGGAGGGGAAAAAAGGAGAAATAGTAGAGCAAGTAACCACTATTTAACAATGAAAAGAGACAGTTTTTGGTAAAGACCTTACCACGGGGTCTATGCAGCATTGGAAGGAGCCGTGGCTTGTAAGCCAGACTCTGTACTTAAAATCATCAAACAACCCTGCAAAATTGGTATCATTTTTATTTTATAGATAAGGAAACCGAGGCTGTGAAAGGTCAGTGACTTTCGCAAGGCCACTGAGCTGGTAAAGAGCAAAGCCAAGTTCTGCCTTTCTACACCTCCCCAGGAGCTCCACATTAACCCCACTCACTGGCAACCCCAGGACCAGCCGTTTCTGCCCGGTTCAAACTTCACGGGGGCAACATGTTCTTAATGCGCAGGCTCACTTTCGATACCGAAAAAACTACAGAGAACGAATGCGCATGTTCCACATACGAGCAGATTTGCTGTGGTTTTCTGCCTCCCCCCACCCCGCCCCATTCAGAAAGGTTAATTACGCATGTTCAATTTATCAACTTCAGACACGGCACGCATGCTCACTGTCCATCGGGCTTTAGCTGACTCTGCGCATGATCTAGCTTCCAAGCGAGGCTTCGGAAGCGTTTCTGCGCATGCTTCCGCCAGTACCTGGCCCAGGCGGCGGCACTGCGCATGTCCGTTGCCCAAGCTCGGCTTCACGGAGTCCTGTGCGCATGCCTCGGTGCCGAACTTGAGGAGCCAGTCTGGGGCCTAGGCGCAGACGCACTGAGCCCCAGCGGCCGGTGATGGCGGCAGCGGCGGCAGTGGCTGCGGCGGGTCCGGGCCCATGAGGCGACGACGGAGGCGGGACGGTTTCTACCCAGCGCCGGACTTCCGAGACAGGGAAGCTGAGGACATGGCAGGGGTGTTTGACATAGATCTGGACCAGCCGGAGGACGCGGGCTCTGAGGATGAGCTGGAGGAGGGGGTGAGGCCCGGGGTCCCCGGGGGTGGGGTGGGGGGGCGCCCGAGGTGACAGGGCCGGGGCGGCGGCGCGGGCCGGGGAAAGCCTGGCGCGTCCGAGGGCGCGGAGACCCGGGGGCGGAGGTGCGAGTCGTTCCCGGAGACCCAGGAGGAGCCGAGGCGCCGCGCGGCCCGGAGCGGGGCAGCGGGCGGGGAGGACCTGGTCCTCAGGTGTGAGGCCGCTGCTGGGCTTGCAGGTGCCGATCGCGCCCCTCGCCCCGGATGAGCGCAGCCGGGAGCAGCCCTTGGAGGGGACGGGGAAGGGCGCGCGCGGCGGACTTGCCCGGAGCCCCGGGACCTGAGTGTGCGGGGCGCGTGTGCTGCAAGCGTGTGCGTGTGCGGGGGGGGAGGGGGACTGCGTTTGCTGGGTGTCCCGTAAGTGCAGGTGAAGCGCGGAAGGGTGTCCCTTCGACTGTAAGATCTCAAGTGTTGCGCCTTCAGACGTCCCACAACCACCTCTCTTCTCGGCCTGTCGCTTCTCTCCTAGGAAGCGCTCAGCTGTTAGAAGTGACAGCTGAAAACTTCTGTCGGGAGTAGCGCTGCCGCTGCAGTTACAGCCACCAGGAGTTTTATTTCGGGAGCAAGGGGGCTCTGCTGCATCTTCCAGGGTTTGTTTGTTTGCTTTTTTTTTTTTTTAAATTTTAAAAACCCCTTCCGTGTGACTAAAAAATAATTTATAACGACACACGGCATTTGTAACTTACTTTTCCCTTAGTTACAGATGTCTATATTTTTTTCGAAATACTTGATGTAATTTCGGGGTGGAAAAAAACCAACGTTGACAGCTGTGATTTGGCTTGCCAAAAATAAATTGCTTGAACTGAGACTTGTGAATGGTGGTGTGAGGGCTTTCCTTGCTGTAATTTAGGGTGCTAAATTTAGAATTGTTTTTCCTAAATGCATAGCTCGGTTTTACCTTTGCCGTTTTAGTTATTCTTTATTCCAGATAAATTTATTGCAAAATCACAAGTTGTGCCTGACGTTGACAAATAGTGTTGTCATGCTAAATCACTGATTCTGGGGTAAATGACCATCAGTGATAACCTCATGGTAATTTAGATTGTAAATTCTATTGTCTAGATGAGTACATGGGTTTATGACTTAAGTCGGATGTTTGCTCTAACTACAAAAGGGGCCTCCCTTTTTTCCCCCCACCCTATCCCCTCCCTCTGGCAAGTTAGCTGTTTCCTGCTTGTTGACAGAAGATGCTGTATACGTTAAATACTGTAGGAAAATAGGTTTTATAGAACAGAAATGCTCTGCTTATCAGTTGAGTCTAAATCAAAATCAGGCAGTGTGGGCAGTGTGGAAGGTGGGTATTGAGATATATACCTTTTTTTTTTTTTTTTGGCGGCTGCACAGCATAGCTAGTGGAATCTTAGTTCCCCAACCAGGGATTGAACCCAAACCCTGGCAGTGAAAGTGCCAAATCCTAACCACTGGACCTCTAGGGAATTCCCCAATGTATATTTTTCAGTATGCTTGCATATGGAATTTCAGTTAGCCTCTTAATGGAACAAATATGGGATTACTTTCATTACATGTAACATACTCTCATCAGTTATATTGGCTCCATATGGCCGTGGCTTGGGAGCGAAGCAGGGAGGAAATGATAAGAAGGGTGCTTTGTATCAGTAAAATCTTCACCAGTTGAACCGATAGAATTTCCAGACTTTGGGTTTATTAGCTGAAAGTAAAATACTGTATTGAGATTCTTGCTATGAACTAGGACCCCTCTTGGATGTTTGTTCTTCTGGGTACAGGCAAATAGGATTTTGAGCAGGTGTGGAAGAGGGAGTCAGAGAAATTGGTGGAAATAGGAAAGAGGAGGAAATATGACTACTACCCTAGGGAGAGGAGCTTTAATTATAAAGGTAATTAAAGAGGATTTTGAGGAAGAGGCTTCAGCAAAATATATCTAACTTAGCAATGCTTTTGGAGTTGAAAATGCTTCTTTTGAGTGTTTTGTTCTAAGAGATGCAAGATGAACATGCAAAGAGTTGGAGTGGAATTGGGTTGACCACCCAAGGAGATTCAGTGACATCTAGGTTTCTCTATAGGTTTTAAAATTCTGAAAAATGAGAGAAATTTAGATTCTTAGAAAATCTGACTACTGTGAATTTCTAATAATATAATTAGAATCCTGTCTATTTGTGAATTTATATCATTTAGAGTGTCCATCCATCAGGTCCTCAGTCGTGTCCAACTCTTGTTGACACTGTGGACTGTAGCCCACCAGGCTTCTCTGTCCACAGAATTCCCAGGCAAGAAATCCTGCCAATTTCCTCCTTCAGGGGATCTTCTCAACCCAGGGATCTAACCCGAGCCTTCTGCGTCTCCTGTATTGCAGGCGGATTCTTTACCCCTGCGCCACTGGGGACGCACCCATCCTTTAGTACACAAGCTTTTAAAACATTGGTGCATATCAGAGTAGCCTCACATCCTCATTTTATAGAAAATAAACTCAGGCATCAACCAGGGATATGGTTGCCCAAGACCACAGAGATAACTAGTGGTAGTATCTTCTGATGCAGTTCAGTAAGCTTCATTGCACAGCTTCTCCACTGCATGTACTAGTCTTGTCGGTGATGTACCTGTTTGTGGTGTGTCAGTGAATTCAGATCCTTCCAGCCACGCTCACTGATTGCAGGGTCTCAAATAAATTGCTTAATCTCTCAGACTAAAGACTCAGAAAAAAGACTTTTTTCTTCTCCATAAACTGAAGATTATATGAGATAGAGTATATCAAGTACTCTCAAAATATCCTGGCACATTATGTAGTGAGCTGGTTTATGGAAATAGAGCTTGTCAGTGTTAACTGATTGCCAAGGAACCAATCATTCAAGTTTACCTCATCTACACATAAAGACAATAATAAATGCAGTTATACTAGGGGTACTGCATTTTTAGAACAGGCGTCTGTTTCCTTCCTTGCTTTCTTTCTCTTTGTCGGTGGTCCTGTTTAGAAATACACCCCCCCCCCCTTTTTAATTTTCTTGGTTTTGGCCATGCTGGGTCTTTGCTGCTGCGTGCGGGCTTCCCCTAGCTGTGAAAGCAGGGGCTGCTCTCTAGGCGCGGTGCGGTGCTGCTTTTGTTGTGGACCAGGGGCTCGGGGCACAGGGCTTCGGTGGCTGTGGCGTGTGGCCTTAGTTGCCGTGTAGTATGTGGACTCTTCCCAGACCGGGGATTGCACTTGGGTCCCCTGCATTGGCAGGCAGATTCTTAACCACTGGACCACTAGGGAAGTCCTAGAGATACCTACTTTTTAGGTATGTTACACTGAGTGAATCTGTATTAGTAGATACATGTATTTATAGTAAATAGATGTATTTACATAGCACAGTTAATTTTTCAGTGACTAAAAGATGAGAATTAGTGAGTTTTAAATACTATATTAAAACCAGTGGTTGAAAGGGTTTTTGTTTTTCTGTTTCATTGGTGATAATATAATTTGGGAACAGAGTTGAAACTAAGGGAAGGTTTTCCTTTAGATATTTTCATTAGATTATGAAAATGTTGGAAACCTCTGCTTTCTGTGAAGACACAGGTTAAAAGAGTAAACGAAAATTGTTAATACGACTTAAAAAAATCATGAATTTTTACTCTGCTAGTTCAAAATTTGAAATAGACTTACTGCTGAATTTCAGTTGGGTTAAGTAGATTTTTATTGATCAAAAAGTTTTTAAAATTTTTAGTGTTTTGAAAAATAGTGCTATATAGATAGTATGTATTCAGATGTTCATGATTATTAATATCTCAATATCTTGCATTTTATTAGATACTTACTATAATGTTCTTTTAAATAGCCCAGTATTTGAGGCCAGATTTACTTCTTTCCCCGAGATTACTGAACCTTATTTTATAAGGAAATATCTTTGAACAGCCAGGCAAGTGAATAAATGATTTAATGACTATTTAGATTAAGGATATTTCTCACCCATTCTGTAACAATTTATTTAGATTTTTTTAACAGTTTATTTAAATTTTTATAAAATTGAGACTTAAGGCATATTAACTTGAATTTATATCTAATTTTAATTTAAAACTTTGCAAATAGTCATTCTGATAGGCTAGTTTGAAACAGTTATCTTGTACAGTACCTTATTGTTTAGTCACTAAGTCCTGCGTCCAGCTCTTTTTTGACCCCATGGACTGCAGCCCGCCCGGCTCCTGCGTCCATGGAATTCTCCAGATAAGAATGCTGGAGTGGGTTGCCATTTTCTCCTCAAGGGGATCTTCCCAATCCAGGGATTGAACATGCGTCTCCTGCATTGGCAGAAGGATTCTTCACCCCTGAGCCACAATGAGAATTCTACTTTGTTAATTGTAGTGACACATACACAGAAAAAGCATTAGATGGGTCATAAAGCTTAAGGCAGAAAAAAAAATCTGAGTAAAGTTTCCTGTGAAGGATAACCGTCAGTATGTCCTGCAGAATAGCTTGGTGTTTCTGGTGTTAGACGTCTAGATACCATTGAGTAGCAGAAAAAAATTGTGCCTCAAAATGCTTGTGCTCCAGAGGTAGCGGTAGGAAGTCCTAAGCCCAGAAGCAGGTGGTAAGACAGGCCTGGCTGACTCCGGAAATGAAACATAGCCGCAGGGCATGTGGCTTCTTTCTAGGTGGCTTCAAAGTCATAGTTCAGTGTTAATTACTCTGTAGTCTTTAATTTAGAATTAAGTAAAGTGAATATTAAAGATAAAACAATTATATAATACCAATTTTATTGAAGTTAGCCTTTTGTCTTTAAAGTGAAGTCATCATAGGTGATTGTATGAAGCACCAGAGACCCCCCCAAACAAAATCCTTTAACTATAACCACCCCTGCCTGCCCCTCCCACACAGAAGACGCTGTATCAAGTTGAAACTGCAAGTATTTTGTTCCCTTGATACCGCACCCCCCCCCCCCACCCTCTACCCCATTTGCTTGGATCTAATCATGAGACATACATCCTTGGTGTTAGACTTCATCCTGAGTTGTTTACACCGTGAGCAAGTTCTGACTGAAACACTTGTTTTGAGAGGGCATTTGACCTCATTGTGTAAGAATACTGTCTGTTTTCTTTGTGTATCATTGACTGTGTACTGGTATCTTTGAAGAAAGATGAGTTCACCTAAATATTTATTGAATTATTCCAAAATTTGTAATAAAAACTTCTAAAACTTCTAATTTTTTTAGTGCTTGTGATAGAAATTGAGAGTTCATAATCAGACTGTATTTAAGAATACTCATTTTAAAGCTATATTTTATAATACTAATAATTGAGTTTCTGCTGCCAGGTTATATTTTAGAGTTCAGTGACTTTTAGTATATTTATAGAGTTATACAGCCATCACCATAATTTAGTTTTAGCACATTTCTGTCGCCTTAGACAGAAATTCGGGACCCATTCACAGTCTCTCCTCACTGCCATCCCCAGCCCTCAGCAGCCAGTCGTCTACTTCCCATACCTGTAAATTTGCCTTTTCTGGAGCGCCCATGGAAGTGGACTTATATAATATGTGGCCTTTTGTGTTTGGCTTCTTTCATGTAAGTTACTGATTTAAGGATCATCTTTGTTGTAGTCAGTATCAGTATTGGGCTTTCCCGGTAGCACAGACGGTAAAGCGTCTGCCTATAATGCGGGAGACCCGGGTTCGATCCCTGGGTCAGAAGATCCCTGGGTCAGAAAGATCCCCTGGAGAAGGAAATGGCAACCCACTCCAGTACTCTTGCCTGGGAAATCCCAGCACAGAGGAGCCTGGTGGGCTGCATCCCATGGGGTCACAAAGAGTCAGACACGACTGAGCGACTTCACATTCACTTTACTTTCACTTTGTTGTAGGATATATCAGTGTTTCATTCCTTTTTATAGCCAGATAGTATTCCACTGTCAGGGTCAACGACATTTATCATTTCACTAGTTGATGTTCATTTGAGTCGTTTCCATTTGGGGGCTATTGTAAATAATGCTGCTATGAACATTTATTCCTGAGTCTTTGTGGAACATGTTATTTTCATTTCTCTTGGGTAGATACCAAGGAATAGATTTGCTGGATCATATGGTAAGTCTATGTTTAATTTTTGAAGAAACTGCCTAACTTTTCCAAAGTGGTTATACCATTTTACATTGCTGCCAGCAGTGTATGAGGGTTACAGTTTCTCTGCATCCTTGCCAAACTTGGGGGTTTTTTTGTGTTTTTTGTTTTTTGTTTTTTTTTTTGTCATTTTAATTGTAGCTATCCTAGTTGATATGAAGTGACATCTCAATATAGTTTTGGCTTGCACTTCCCTAAGGCCTCATGATACTGAACATACTTTCATGTGACTTTTGGCCTCTTACCTTCTTTATGGAAATGCCTGTTCAGATCCTAACCTATTTTTTTTGAAGTGTGTTGCTTATTTTTTTTATTATTGAGTTGTAGAAGTTCTTTATATGTTCTTATTTTATGGATTGTGAAGATTTACTCTCTCCTAGTTCTTCTAAGAATTTTATGGTTTATAGTTTTAGTTCTTAACATTTAGGTCTGTGACCCGTTTTTACGCATGGTGTGAAGGTAAGGATCCAAAGTAAATCTTCGCATGTGGATATGCAGTTGTCCCGAACTGTCATTTATTGAAACAAGTCTCCTTCACATTGAATTTTCTTAGCGTCTTTGTCAAAAATCAGTTGACCATAAATGGAAGGGTTTATTCTGGGCTCTCATTTCTATGTCATTGATTTATATTTCTATCCTTATGCCAGTACCGCACTGCATTAATTGCTGTTGCTTCATAGTACATTTTGAAATCAGGACATGTAAGTCCCCCAACTTTGTTCTCCTTTTTCAAGATTGTTTTGCACCCACTCCCACCTCATGCCCTTGGTTTTCTGAGTGAATTTTAGGATAAGCTTGGCACTTTCTGCAAGGAAGGGACCAGGAGTTTTTAAAAGGTTGAGTTGAATCTGTAAACCAATTTGTTTAGCATCGCCATCTTAACAATATTAAGTCCTCTGATCCATGAACATGGAATGTCTTTTGATTTATTTAGCTCTTTTAAAATTTCTTTAAGTATTTTATTCTAGTGGTGTCACTGTGAGTGGAGTTATCTTAATTTCATTTTGAATTGTTCATTTTGCTAATGAATAGAGAGTTAAATTAAGTTTTGCACTCATTTATACTATGGTCAGAATGAATGTTTGGCCAGTATGACTCCACACAATTTGAGAGTGTGGCTTAACTGTTTTGCTTTGATCAGCCATATCATTCATGACAATATCTTAGAATGACTGTGGTAACCTTAAGCTTAGTTAGGTTGCAGTTACATAAGGTTTCTAGCATTATGTTAGTCTTATTGTCAAAAGCATGTCAGAATAACTTTTTATAAGTCTTTTGATTAACTCAGAATGCAGTACCTTTAGTTTCATAAAATACAGAATACATATTTTGAATACATGTAATTTTTGAAGGAGAAATCACCTGGTTTTGTTTGTAGATCATTGATGAGTAGCATCTATAGTTTAGTTGTCACATAAAATTAAAAGTGAAATCCCCTTAATATTGTTTGTGTGCTGTGCTTTGTTCATCACCACATTTACCTGTTAATAAAGTATTGAGAATTTGTAAGCTGATTTCTTTCGTTCATTCTCCTTGAGTAATGGGGTGAAGCATTAAATTGTTAAATTTCTTGTTTATGGGGTTATTTATTTTTAAAACTTTAACATGTTTTTCAGGGTCAGTTAAATGAAAGCATGGACCACGGGGGAGTTGGACCGTATGAACTGTAAGTAGATTTGAAAATGTCTCACTTCGCTGTCTTTTTTTAATTTAGGTTATATCCGCTCCAGTTTACAGGCATCGTGTGATTTTAATAGCCTCTTTTTAAGAATATAGTCATATGCAGAGACTTGGTTTATTGAGTTTGGCACCAATATGAAAACATATCTGGGGTTTTGAGATCATGTATGGATTTTGAAAAGAAGATTATTAAAATTCGGAGTATTCTGAATATGAGTCTTGAGTGTGTAAAAGATTTTTATTAGTTTAATATGGAGAACTACCTTTTCCTACTGAACAATAAAAATTTTAGAAATGCTCTCCAAATCAAATGCTTCTTGTTTTGCTTCTAATGCGTCGTCTAAACAGAGATTTGTGCATTCTTATGTCATTCTGGGAAAGCTTCATTAGTTGAACAAGGTGTTTAATCTGCTCCGTATCCCACCTTCAAGTAAAAAGCCTTGGATTGTGGGGAAACTGAGACGATCACTCATAGAAAGCATTTAAATGACAGATAAATTGCCACCCTTTGGGGACCTTTAAATTAAGCATATGTGGAAAGATGCATGGTTATAATTTATTAACAAGAATTTTTAGCTGACAACTTGAATTAATTGGGTACTTTCAGAAAATGCTCAGATTTTCTGCTGAAGTTGCTAAGTACAGTTGGATAATATCTAACCTCAGACATTTTGAATAAACTAAATTTGAATAACTAGAAGGCTTTTTTCCTTTGTCAGCGTAATAAACTTGTTCTAATTCATCTTAGTTCGGGAGTACTTGATGCTTATGAAAATCAGTGATCAGTAGCACATTCTGTAAACAAGCAGATCAGCAGACAGTTCTCAAGCCACCCTAATCTTGACCTACCATGTCTTCGAATCATTAGTTAACTTAGAGCACAGATACTAAATTTGCTATCTTGTACTTTTTTCCTTTTACTTAATTGGAGTATAATTCTCATTCTAACAGTACACTGAAAATAATTTAACTTCTCGCAAATTTACTTTTGGTTTTGCTTTTCTCCCCAGTGGCATGGAGCATTGTGAGAAATTTGAAATCTCAGAAACTAGTGTGAACAGAGGGCCAGAAAAAATCAGACCAGAATGTTTTGAGCTACTTCGAGTACTTGGTAAAGGGGGATATGGAAAGGTAGGAAGTATTTTGAAATGAGAGCTGTTTTTGTCTGTCTTGGGTAGATTAATGTTTACACCCTGTTTCCAGCTGTCTTCTTCAGTCTTTGCAAGCTCTCAGCAAAGAACATGATCATTTAACCTGATGTTATTTGAGCAATGTATAGAAGCTCTCCTCCTCTTACCACCATTCACATAAAAGCCTGGCACTGTGTGGGTACTCAGTCAATATTTGTAGAATAAATAGGCAGCTGGGCTAGGCAGTATCTGTTATTAGAGGGTTCATTTCTTCCTTTTGCTAAATGGTACCGACTATAGGTATTCTTTTAAAAAACAAACCGCCCCTTACTTTCAAGAAGCATGGCTCATTAGATTAGTATCTGTTTCTGAGACCTTAATCTAAATTGATTTTCTTTGACTTGCAGTATTCGGAGCAATAGAGTTAGGGAAGCTGAAGAATTTAAGAGAGGAGAAGAAAAATGAAGACCATCTTTTGGTTTCATAGTTTTGCCAGAAGCTTCCTAATTTAAGACCTCACCTTTGAGTGTTCTGTTCAAGAAAATTTGGACATTCTCTTTGCCATTCTTTGCCATTCAAAGACAGAGTTTGGGTAACATGTTAGTAGTTAAGATTAAGCTTGAGAACCATTTATGCTATTGTGTAGTGTTCATTTTTGTGAAACCTGGCATTTTTAGTTTATTCTTAGGCTTCAGGACACACTTTCATATGTTTTCATTATCGTGAATGTATAACACATGCACTGTGAATCTCATATTTTAGCTGTTGCAGGAAAGGATATTATGGCTAATCATTTTAAGGCGTAAGTAATTCCTGTCAAATATTATTAGTTATATGTGAGGCATCTCTGAAAATTTATGAGCTATTTTATAATTTCTGTGTGTCTAGGAAACATAATGATAGTTTTTTCTATGCAAACTTGGATTTTATAAAGTAACATGGAGTGCTTGTTATAACAGAGTGCTTGTTATTAGATGGTCATTGCCCAACTTTGCCACCAGATGTCAGCAGACGAAACAGGAAGGTTCTGTGTTGTATGACAGTTTTCACTACTGAGGACTTCCTGGGTAGCTCAGCTGGTCTAGAATCCTCCTGCAATGCAGGAGAACCCAGTTCGAATCCTGGGAAGTGAAGATCCCCTAAGGGTCACGCTGCCCACTCCGGTTTTCTTGGGCTTCTCTTGTGGCTCAGACGGTATAAGAATTTGCCTGCAATGTGGGAGACCTGGGTCGGGAAGATCCCCTGGAGGAGGGCCTGGCAACCCACTCCAGTGTTCTTGCCTGGAGAATCCCCAAGGACAGAGAAGTCAGGTGGGTTACAGTCTGTGGGGTCGCAAAGAGTCGGACCCGACTGAGTGACTAAGCACACTGCTAAATCTTGAATGTCGTCTGGCTCTTTTAGCTAATCATTATGTACACAGTCCTTCACGGCACTAGTTTCTGTAAAAATATAGACTGCTGTATCATTGCTTCATATACGTAGGAATTAAGGGACTATGACTTATCATAGTTTAGCTTTTAATAACACACACTTTTGTTTTTCATTCAGGTTTTTCAAGTACGAAAAGTAACAGGAGCAAATACTGGGAAAATATTTGCCATGAAGGTGCTTAAAAAGGTGATTTCTCTCTTCCCCCTCAACTATATTCTTCATTGCTATAAAATCCATATTGTGGTCTAAACTTCTCAGTTAAAAATTGTATTTCTACCACAATTATACGTCCTCTTGGAATGTGGGGTACGTTTTATCATTCTTAGTCCTGTTTTATTCTTCTTGGTTACTTGGTGAGGGTGCAGAGGAGATTGTTTCAGTTCTCCTCCGAGGTTAACTCTTTTCTCCCTTTGTTCTGGTCTCTGTATTTCTAAGTAATAAACATGTTCTGCTGTGACTTAATTCAGTAGTTTTAGAATTACAAATTGACTTCCTATTTTATTCTTTTTTACTTCTTTCTTCCTTTTTCCCATCCTCATCTGGCATCATTTTCTTTCATTCTACTGTTGTCTTCTCAAACCTTCCATCAGCTCTGTAAAACACCTTTCAGGCCAGTGTTCCATGATCACACTTACTAGATAAGTAACTAGTTCCGTTCATTTTCCTAGAGCCGTCCCAGAGGCACCTTCTGCCCCCTGTTCTCACCTGTACTGGTCTTACTCTCAGCATAGCTGTCACTACTCGACTTCCCCTCCACTACCGCAGTCCTCGAAGTCCTCCTGACTCCTTTAGTGTGGGATCCTTTGCTTCTTGGGTCCCAGATGTTCTTTTTTCTTAGGTTGTGTCCTGTTCTCTTGCTTTGGTGACCATTTACTGGTGGGTTTCCTGAGAAACTGAATGAAGGTGAATTTGATATTCCAGATTTTTGTAGTGATGTGTCTTGCTTTGATTCTTACTATTTATTTTTACTGTTTCAGTCTTAAAAGTTTTCAGTCTTTTAGCTCTAGGGAATTTTCTTTTATGATCTCTTTGATAATTTTCCCCTTGTTGTTTTCTTCTCTTAAAATTGCATTTACTTGGGTGTTGGACCTCCTAGACTGATCATTTATTTTTCTTTCCTTTCCACTTTCTTTATCTTTTTGTTTACTTTCTGAGGTCTTCCTAGAAATTTACTTTCTAATCATTTTTAAAATTTAATGTATTTATTTGGCTTTGCTGTGTGGCTTGTGGGATTTCATTAATAGTTGCCCAACCAGAGATCTAGTCCAGGCCCCTGGCAGTGCAAATGCAGAGTCTTAATCCCTGGACCACCAAGGGATCCCCTTACTGATTTTTTTAAAACTATCATATTTGTAATTCCCCAAAGCTCTTTTTGTTGTTTTTTTCTTTGTATCCCTATCTATTTTGTGAGTACAGTATCTTCTTTTATTCCTCTGAGACATTTTAATTATAAATTCTTTGAAGTATTCTTTTGTTTCATAGACATGTCTCTTTTCTAAGTTCCTATTTTCTTTGACTTTGATTTAGCGTTTTGTTGCCATGTCAGGGGGCTTCTTTAGATGTCTGGTATCCTTGAAGAATGGAACTCTGAGAAGCTGATCAGAAACTGTGTATGTGTAGCCTTCATTGTGCAGTCATGAGATTAGCTAGCTGGCAATTGACTAAGAACTTCTAAATGTTAGTGTCTAAAGGTCTTTTTTCTGGTATGGATCAATCTGTGCTTGGAAAGATCCTCTATTCTTTCGCCTAGAAAAAGCATTCTGAGACTGGATGACAGACAGGAGGTGGAGATCTCACCTTTCAACATCAGATTTTTACTAAAATCACGCTTGTTTTGTTTTAACTTTATTGACATATCATTGCTTTACAATGTTGTATTAATTTTTGCTGCACAGCACAGTGATTCACTTACACACACGCATATTTTTTTTCATCCATTGTGGTTCGTCACATGACATTTATTATAGTTCCCGATGCTATGTGGTAGGTCTTTGCTGTTTATCCAGCCTCTGTGTACTAGTTGGCGTCTGATAATCCCAAACTCCCAAACCTTCCCTCTACCTTTCCCAACCCCAGCTCCAAGTGTATTTGCTTTGTGCGTCTGTTTCTGTTTTGTAGATAGGTTTATTTGTTGTATTTTAGTTTATGTAAGTGATATCATGTGGTATTTTGTCTTTCTTTCTGACTGACTTTGCTTAATATGGTCATATCTAGGTCCATCCATGTTGCTGCAGATCGCGTTATTTTGGTCTTTTTTATGGCTGAGTAACGAAGTCAGGTTTTTACTTCAGCACTCTGCTCTGTATCTGATCATTCACTCTTTTTTTTTCTTTTCTGGAGACTGCATCTCTCCAAGTGGTAGTTCCTGGCTGGTTACTGTAGATACGGAAATCTTGCTGATCGATCTGTTCCTTACAGAGACTTTCAGATAATCCTCCTGTATTCATCCCTCCACCTTCTGCCTTCTATAGTCCTTAATGATTCCATATTTTTTCCCCATTTCTTTCCTTTTATTTTTACTTCTAATTTTTGAACATTACTAAGGCTTTATCTGGTGGGTCAGATGGTAAAGAATCTGCTTGCCCTGCAGGAGACCCAGGGTCCGGAAAATCCTCTGAAGAAGGGAATGGCTACCCACTCCCAGTATTCTCGCCTAGAAAATTCCATGGATAGAGGAGACTGGTAGGGTCACAAAGAGTCGGACAGGACTGAGTGACTAACACTGACTGTTCAGGGCTTTATAGATGGATTCAACTTTTTTTGAGTTACGCCTCTTTCCAGGCATTTAGGTTTGCTCATACCCCAGTATACTAAGTTATTCACAACTGCTTTATCCCCACTCTGTTTTCACCTTTTGAGATGCAGAGTTACATGCTTTTTTTTGTTTTATTAACCTTGGATTGTGTATATTTGGTTTCTTGTTCTTTTGGTTTGGGATTGATTTCTGAAAAGATCTCACTGTCTTAAAATCTTAGTAGAAAACTATATAAAGACAATCAAAATGACTTTTTAAAAAAAATACAGTGTTTATATATCATCCTGTTTTCTTCCCTGACTTTTACTTAAGCAGTACAAATGACTTCTTAATTTAAAAACTGAGGAACAAATCCTGTGACCACAGCTTTATTGGTGATTGTCTTAAAGAAGCAGTTTAGGCATTTTCAACTTCAGTCTCTGCATCAGCAAGCCAGAATTAATCTGCTCTCTGGCTTTCCCGTTGGAATCATTTGAGATTATGGATAAAGTATTTTAAGTCTAAAATTGGAGACCATATAAATAACACTTGTTCTTGCAGTGTTGAAAGAAGTACTGGTCAGGTTTCTTAGAATAATCCATTCCTTTTGATGAACGCCTGATAATCAGGGCTGAGCAAAATTAGTCATAATTATATCTAAAGTGTCTGGCACAGATATCTTTAATGGAAAGAAGAGGGTTTTTTTTTTTTTCCCCACTGATGGTAAGTGGGTGTGGATTAATATATTGGGAAGTCCATAGACACAACTGCTGCTGTTTGTCAGACTTCCTTTTTGTGCCCAGGCATGGAAGACCTAACTTGCTTTGCCTCTTATTTTGTTCGTTAGTTCTTGGTGTTTGGTTTTTCTTTCCCTAAACCTGGCTAGAGAATCACACAATGTCTCATTCTTTCCTTGCTGTTCCTGAAAACAAGCTAGGGTTAAGTCCAAGGTTTTCATTCCTGAATCCCTAGGTAAAGATAGCTGTGTTCTCCCTTTGGGTTTCTTCTTTTGATTTTGTTATCTCTGGAAGCAGAGAGTACTGACCCTTTTGACCTGCTGCTGCTACTGCCGAGTTACATCAGCCATGTCTGACTCTGTGCGACCCCATAGTCGGCAACCCAACAGGCTCCTCTGTCCCTGGGATTCTCCAGGCAAGAACACTAGAGTGGTTTGCCATTTCTTTCTCCAATGCGTGAAAGTGAAAGTGACGTCGTGTCCGACTCTTAGCGACCCAATGGACTGTAGCCCACCAGGCTCCTCCGTCCATGGGATTCTCCAGGCAAGAGTACTGGAGTGGGTTGCCATTGCCTTCTCTGCTCTTGGCCTGAGTATGTGGTAAGAATTTACCTCTTTCTAACCTTAAAGATAAAATCATAAACCAGATGTTCTCTTGTCTTAAATGAGTTGCTTACATCTAAATAATCCGTCTGGCTTTATCAGTTCTCCTGGGCTTGTTTACTCATTATGAGAAGGGTAGAATGTTGAGAAATAAGACTGTTTCCAACAACTGCCTCTCTGTCCTACCAGTTGCATCAAAAATGTGTACTCTGGAAGCAAAATATTATTGCCCATGTCATTAGTTCAGCTCACATTGTAAACTTTAGAACGTTTGGTGCCAAAGGCTTGTAGTTCACAGATTGGTCCTATTTCTTTCATTCCTTCTTTTATTGAACCAGCTGAGAGTCTGTAGTGTGCCAGGCATTTTGCTAGACACTAGGATTTAGCACTTCAAATGAACATAATCTCTGCTGTCACTCTGCTTAGTGTGTAATTCAAGGGAAGAACTGATAAGCGTATCCTTATAATTTCTACTCTAGTCAAAACCTTTGCACTTTGAGGATTAAGCTTATATTAATTTCTTAGTGTTTATCAGTCGTTTTTCCCCACTCTCAAGTCTTATTGTCCTGGGTGTCTTCTATGTCTTCTATGTCCTTGTATTAAATAAGTAATCAATTGCCTAGCCTTCTAATTCCGCATTGATCCCAAATCCATCAGTGTTCACCTCCATTTCACATCGCCATAGTTGTATCGCCCCATAGTTGTATCGTCCTCTTCTGAAACACTGGACTAAAAACACTTCCTTATTCCTGTAGTGCCTGGTTTGGCCTTTTTAGTGCTTTGACCTTTCTGTGTTTTCTTCGAGTTCTTAGCCCTTGTTTAGTCTTACCTCACACCTAATCTAGCCTGATCGGCATGCGCTGCCATGCCAGCCACCTGCCGTCCCTGGCTGACCGTATCCTCCAGACGCTCTGATCGGTTTATTTGTTAATATTCCTTTATTCCTGATCTCAGTTATTGAACATCACAGGCAGAAATCACACAAACTTTTTTTTTAATCACACATACTTTAAATTGCTACTGGGAAAAATTCATAGTCCCCAACTCACATAGACCCTCAGAACCCACCAAAGGTTCCTAGCCAACCCCTTCCATTCTCTACAGCTAGTAGAGCCTTTACTGTTAGTCCAGCTGCTGGTTTTTAGCAAACTGCCTCTCTTCCTAATTGAGGCTGTCAGATACGATTGCCTCCAACTTTCTTACCCTGATACCGTATTGTCTGCATTTTCACCTGTCTTCACTTCACTCTCTCCAGGCTTAGTGGGAGATGCTTCCTCCTTTCCAAGGCTAAACCCTCTCTTTATGTTTGGATCCCATCCCTCTCTGCCTGTTTAGGGTCTTTTCTCTGTCACTTCTCACTCTTTCTCCGTCCTCTATCCTCACCTCACCTCATTCTCTGTTTAAATATATTCATGTCTTTGGCATATTTAGAAAACAAATCCTTTCTTCACTCAGGTCTATCATAGCTTCCAGTCTCTGCCTTTCATAGACTAATTTCTTAAGAAGTCATGTTTTAATTATCTTTTTTACTCACTGTATTTTGAACTCACAACTCTACTATTTTGATGAAACTTTTTCCGTTTGTCACCAGGGATCTCCTAATTGCTGGATCCAGTAGTCTTTCCTTAACTCATCCTCAATTTATCTCTCTGTTGCACCGAAGCTGTTGACCACAGCATTTTGAAACTACACTCCCTTGACTTGTGTGATTCTTTTGTGATTTTTCTTTCCTAATTCTTCAAAGTTTTTGTTTTGCTATACAAATTGAAAGTTATTTGCAGATATGGTGCTTTGCCTTTAACATCTCTAGTGTGTATCTCTTTAAGAATAGAGCATTTTCATACATAACCACAATGTAATTATCACATTTGGGAAGTTTAATATTGGTATACAATTCTGTTTTCCTGATACATTGTCTATAGTCAGACTTCCCCAGTTATGTCAGTAATAGCCTTTACAGCTATTTTTTGTTCTAATATCCAGGATTTAATGAAGGATCACACGTTACATCGAGTAGTCTTGTGTCTTCAGTGTCTTTTACTTTAGCGTCCTGTGTCTTTATTTTCTTTTGCTTTAGTTTCCTTTATTTTTTGTCTTTCATGACACTAACATTTTTTGAAAACTCTGGGCCAGTCATTTTGCAGGGTGACCCTGATTTGGATATGTTTCATTATTTCCTTATGAAATTGCTTAAATTTTAAATTTAAGTTAAATGCTTTCTGCAGGAATATTTTACATGAGTGTTGTGTCCTTAGGAAGCTCATAAGGTTAGTCTGTCTCGTTATTTGGTGAGTTTGATTATTTGGCTAAGGTGGTATCCACAGAATTTCCCATTCTACAGAGGCCTTTTTTCCCTCTGTAATTAAAAAGTATCTATGGAATGAAAGTTAGCGATTGTGCTAATATTCCATCCTAATAATCTTCTACACCCAATGGTTTTATTATCCATCATTTCTTAGCCAAATCAGATAATACTCTGGTGATTATAAAGTGGAGAGTTTTCTGTTGTATCATTTTTTCTCTGTTAGTTGTCCTTTTTCTGTAAAGGAGAGCTTTTCACACATGTTTTAATTTTTAAAACCACTTGTATTCATTTACTTTGGCTGCACTGGGCTTCGCTAGTTGTGGCGAGCGGGGGCTCCTCTCCAGGTGCGCTGCGCGGGCTTCTTGTTGCGGTGGCTTCTCTCGTGGAGCACGGGCTCTCGGCACAAGGACTTCAGTGGTTCCAGCTTGTGGGCTCCAGAGCATGCACGCTCAGTAGTTGTGGTGACACGTTTAGCTGTGTGCTGGCATACGGTGTCTTCCTGGAAATCCGTGTCCAAATCTCTATCCCCTGCATTGGCAGGCAGGTTCTCAACCATGGACCATTAGCGAAGTGCCAAAGTTTAGTGTTTTAAAACAGTAAGGACTACTTTTCTCATAGTGTTATCCATCTCTTTCATTATTCAAATTTTGGTCTGAAAATTTTCCCACATGGTTCTGGAGCAAGCTCTTTTAAGAAGGCGTCTGTGTCCTTTTGGCGCGTCCCCATTAGTTTCGGAGCACTTCCTTCCTGTACAGAAGTGTGCTCCAGGTTTCCCTGGCATGTTCCCTAGCCCTGGCCTGGCACCGTCTGTTTTTCCATGGAGCCCTGGTTTCTTTGGTAGAGAAACCGAGATCTGAGTTCCAAGCTATGGTCTTTGCCACTGAAGTGTTGTTCTTCTGGCTCTTTCAGAACAGAGCTAGGAAGTTTTGTTTTTGTTTTAAATCATGGCTTCACATTGATATTCCTAATTTCAGTCCAATTCTTTTTTTTTTCTTCAGTCTACATTTGAATCTCTTTTCCCACATTGAGAAAAGCCTGATAACAAGATCAATACATTTACTCATTTACTTAGTGGTACAATATATGCTAATAGTTTGAGAATTATAATACCAATAGTACTAGTAGTAGCTACAAGCCTACTAAGTGTGGCTTAAGATTTCCTTGTAATTTTTGTTATGCTTACATATATGTTACTTAAGAATGTGCAGTGTAAAGTTATTTAAATATCTTTTTTCTCTTTTTGTGGTAAAATTATCAAAGAATTGGATTGGACAAAAAGTTCACTTGGTTTTTTGTACTATTGTATGGAAAAACCCAGATGAACTTTTTGGCCAACCTAATAAAAGTCAATTAAATTTATGTGTCTCTCCTGTACTCAGTTTTATTTGCCTCCCCTATCCTTGTTGATTTAATTTTTTTGAAATGTATAAAACATTGTCATGGCTCAGAATTCAAGATCTCCATTTTATAATCACCATATGATATTTGACTCAGGTAAGAAGAAAGATAAATGATAAAACTATTAAGGTTTTATTTAAAATTCCCATTCCTTTTCCTGCCTTCCCATGGTTGTTAGCTTTTTTTTTTTTTGGATAGGTTTCTTGTTAGGATTTTATTTTATTTTCTTGACCACACCACACAGCACGTAGGATCTTAGTTCCCTGACCGGGGATTGAACCCAGGACCTTGGCAGTGAGAACTAGACTGTCAGGGGATACCCTTTCATTAACGTTTGACTTATCTTAGTTGTGCTCATTAATGCATTTGTAAGGATGTACATATTATTATATTTTTATTTCCTCTTTTACACAAAAGGTAGCATACTGTGTGTACTGCTGTGCCATATATGTTCTTTTGCACCTTGCTTTCACAGATATATTCCTTGTTCTTTTTTAAAAAAAAATATTTATTATTTTTCTTTCTTTATTTGGCTGCAGTCTTAGGTGCAGCGTGCAGGGTTTTTAGTTGTGGCATGTGGGGATCTAGTTCCCTGACCGGGGATTGAACCCATGCCCCTGCATTGGGAGTGCAGAGTCTTAGGCACTGGACCACCAGGGAAGTCCCCCTCATTCTTTTCATTGCTTTATAGGGTTTTCATTCACTATCCTATGCTTAGGCATTTAGATAGTTTCTAATGTTTCACTTTTACAAATATTGATGATATTCCAACCTATAACCTTGTGTACATGCTTTTTCATGTCCAAAACAGTGTATCATTTCCCCAAAACTTTCTTCTTTGTTTCCATTTCCTCAATGACACTATTAGTTACACAGAAACCATGGTATCATTCTTCTCATATCTCAGTAGTCAGAATGTGCTAATGATGCACTTTTACCCTTTTTTTTCCCCCACCTTCGTTTTCTTAGTTACAGATTTTACTTCTTAGCTACTTTTCTAGCCTCCTAACAGATGTTGTTTCTTCCCTAAAACTTCACACTGCTACTTGAGCTGTCTTTCTTAAAGCCAAGTGTTATTCATTTACCTTACCTCAAGATTTCTTCTCATCCTCTAAAGAATATAATTCAAATGCCTTTCCTCGATGCCGGGGCTTTCCATTTCCTGGCCTCCACCTATATCTCCAGCCTAATACATCTCCTAACCACTTCTAACCATGCTGAGCTACTTAGTAGATCCTCTCAACACGCTCTGTCCTGTCAGGTCACTTTTGCATTGAGAGTGCCTTTTTTTTTCCACCTTCCACATTTTATCTTAATAATTTTTTATGATAGAGCTTAGGTATGCCACCTACAGGAAGACTTCTGGCTGTCATGTCTAGTTCTGCTGTTCACCCGTGGCACCTGGTGCTTAGCTCCATGACTCATCTCTCTTCCCTGGGACTTTGGGCTCCTATGGGCTGGAGACTCCTGTTAATTCTGCTTTCTTGTTAAGAGCCTAGAAAAGAGTAGACATTCAAAAAAGTTAGTGAATATCTGAATAAACTTGATCTGTTTACATGAAAACAAATTATTTAGGTTTTCATTTACATGTTTACTGCAGAAAAATCCAAACAGTGCAGATGTATATAAGAGGTGAATGTCTTCCGTTTCCCCTCTCTCAGGCTCTAGTGAGAACTAAGATTCATAGTTTAATGTTGGCGAGAAAAGCACAAAATAGATTTTCCCGATCCTATAGGATAAAAATGTCTACTATTTTGTTCTTATAGATCATCTCTTTTCCTTTAGGCAATGATAGTAAGAAATGCTAAAGATACAGCTCATACAAAAGCAGAACGGAATATTCTGGAGGAAGTAAAGCATCCTTTCATTGTGGATTTAATTTATGCCTTTCAGACCGGTGGAAAACTCTACCTCATCCTTGAGTATCTCAGCGGTCAGTACACAGTTTGGTGTAATTATTTGCATTAGCTCCAGAAACTTGTTCAAAACATTATTTTTCAATAGAACAATGCTTTTTCCCAGTGTGACCAAATAGTTCTTAAAATCAACAAATACATTAACATAAGAAATTCACATGGGACCAGATGTTTCTTTTTGTAGACAAATATGAAGGAAACTTTAAAGGTTGTCTTTTTTCTTCATCTGTAATGTTTTATCTTAATTCTCTTGTAATCAGTTAACAAAATAACAAAAACCTAATGGATAGCCATCAAATTGACTGCACTTGGGTAAGATAATAAAATTCAAATAAACCACTAACTGAAATGGAAAACTTAGAGTATTGTTTAAGGTAATGAGTATTTTTGGTATTGCATCTTTAAACAGAAGTGTTTTTTACTTAGTGTAATTCTACAGATAGATTTTGCATTTTTACATTGGAAATCCCCCACTCATTCCAGGACTTACCCCTTCCTAGGAATTTGTGGCACCCCATACCATTTTTAGATCACAGGTATCTATTTCCAGCAAACACACTTGAGTTTTCTGAAAAACAGATTTCACAATAGCCTGTAACATAGAATAGAAAGCTGCATAATTTAATAACTTTTTTGTGACTGTTACCATTTTTTCTTGTAACTGTATTTTAACCTACTTTCAGATTTACACAAAAAAGGTGCAGCAATAGGACAAAGAATTCCCACCTACTATTCACCTAGATTCCCCAAGTATTATCATTTTACCACAATTGTTTTGTTTCATCATTCTTTTTTCTCCCTCTCTGTATCTGTATATATGCAGGTGTGTATATAGATATATATACATAAATGTGTTTATAGATATCTATACACACATGTGTATATATATTCATAATTTTTTCTGAACTGTTTAAGAGAGTGTTGCAGACTTGATTTCCCTTTGTCCCTAAATATTTCAGTATATTTTTCTGAAATTAACCACAGTATCTTACATAACTATACTTAAATTATCAAAATAGGAAATTAACATTGATAGCAGTAATCTCTTTCCTTAGTTTCCTTTAATCTGAAACAGTTCCTACGTCTTTCTTTGTCTTTCATGACCTTGACAGTTTTGAAGGGTGCAGTCTGGTTTGTAGAGTGCATCAGTTTGGGCTTATCTGGTGTTTCCTAAGGATTAGACTCAGGGTATGCACTTCTGGGAGGACCACTGAAGTGACGGCCTTTCCTGCTCTGTGTATTGGAGCAAGAAGTACATAAGATTTGTATCTTTGTTCCATTACTGTTGATTTTAACTTTGATCATACATACAAGGCGGTGAATTTTTTTGTGTTTTTTTTTTTGGTGAAGTTTTTCCTTTTTTTAATTAACAAGTATCTTGAGGAGATACTTTGAGATTATTCAAATATCTCATCTCTCATCAAGCTTTCACATACAGTTTTAGCATCCATTGATTCTTGCCTGAAACAATTAACTATGATTGCCAAGTGATTTTTCTTATTCCATCATGCCTCCTTCATTTGTTATTTGGCATTCTACTGTAACAGAGCTTTCTGTTCTCCCCCATTATAAAACAGAAATTTATCTATTCTTTTATTTAAATCATTGTGTACTCATGGATTCTAAGATTATTTAGTAAGCTATAATATTTTGTTAACATTGTAACATTGTTTATTTTGATATTCAAATCATGCCATACTATCTACCTAAGACTGACAAATTCATTCCATTTTAGAGTTCTAAAAATGTGGAATGTGGGCATTCACTAATTTGCAAGGATGGTTTAATTACATATCAACATTTTTCCACTTACCGGTAAAATGTTAGAGAAGCTTGAATCAAGATTTTTTTTAACCTCAAGTCTGAAATCTGTTGTAAATATTTTGAAGTTTAGATCTAAAAGCTAGAATTCCCAAACTTGTGTATTTCACATAAGAAGAACACTGCTAAAAATGGAATCCTGAGGACTTAGTTTTAAACCTCTAATTTTTAGGATCTGTTTTTTATTTTTAAAGGGTTGATGTCTTTTAATTATGGTTAAGAGGAAAGCACAAACCCTCTCATTAGAAGTGGATTGTTGGAAATAAAGATTGTTGTATTGCTAATGTCTTTTTCTTTTCTTTACAGGAGGAGAATTATTTATGCAGTTAGAAAGAGAAGGAATATTTATGGAAGACACAGCCTGGTAAGTGAAATTTTTGTGGTTTTATGAATTCAGGTAATAATTCCTATAATTAAAAGCAAAGTCTTGTTCCCACTGTGGGCAGCCAGTAAATTGTTCTGGAGCCAGTCAGTCACTCAGGACTCAATGGGGAGAAGCAGCTTTGCGCTTGGCAGCTATTAGAGATCACATCATTCCTTTGCCCCCAGGCCTTGGGTGGAACGTTCTTCACACCAGTTCCTAACAGATCCATTCTCACTGGGGCTTTATTTCCTTGAATTGGTAAGCTGCCTGCCTTGGCTCTGGGTGAGTGTGGTTTTCCAGTGAAACTTTTATGTGTGGACCCATGGAAAATATCAGAAACCATCTCCTTTTTTTTGTAGACTTTCCAGTTCCCAAGGTGCAGTCTTAGGGAGGTGATAAGTCTGCACACATCATCTGTGGATTGATTCAGTGGCCAGGATGGGATCTACCCTTCTATTTCTTAAGATGGCATCTGCTTCAAATTAAAAATATACATACCCTTTTGTGAGATGACAGTACTGGGTAACAATAAATCAGTTTATCCTACACATTAATTGAATAGAAAACACTTAAATGTTTTTTTCTACCTTAATTACCAAACTGCATTCCATTGTTTAATTTCAGGCCTTTTCTAACACAGAAGCTGCATTTAAGAGCCTTAGGGATGAAGTGCCCTTTTTTGGAGGAGGCTCTCTGAGCCGTGTTGGAGGCTGTGTTTGTGGTCCTGCTGGCTGTGAAACTGCCTCAGTTCTCTAGGACACACCCTCTCCATCCTGGAGTAATCTGCAGGATTGCAACATTGTTATGCAGCCAGTATTGCAGTGCCTTGTGCTTTTCGAATCCAGACAGGGTTGACTCAGCCCTTTATTCTTTTGAGGTAGATAAATTTGAGTGTCACACAATTTATAGTTGTGGGCTGGCTGGCAAGAGGGAGGGCAGATACTGTGGGCATGAGCTGTATATAAATATGCAGCTGTATTAAGTAAGGGATGAGTGGGCTTTTAAGGGTCAGGTTTTAAGGTATTTTTTAAACTAAGGCTTGATCTCGGAGAATAATGAAGTTCCTATTTCTTATGGAATTTAAAAATTGGGGGTGGGTGGGAGAAATTTGCTTTGATCTGAATGACTATTGGCCCATTTCCCACATAGACAGAGCAAAACATGACCAGTGACAGTTTGGCATAATCTGGACGACTTTGCAGTTTTAGCAAGATGTTTTATTGATGAAATAAAACATTTTATAGTTTCACTAAACAAGTGAAACATAAATGTCTCCATGCGTTTTGGCAGCAGCCTATGCCATCTCTCTTCCCCATACCCACCCCCACTAATTTGGTCTTTGGTGCATGTCTATTTCTTTCAAGGAATTTTGCTCCAAACATAAACTGCTTTGAGTGGATTATTCTTTTTAATTTTATTAAATCACTTTTGTTTCCAGCTTTTACTTGGCAGAAATCTCCATGGCTTTGGGGCATTTACATCAAAAGGGGATCATCTACAGAGACCTGAAGCCGGAGAATATCATGCTTAATCACCAAGGTGGAGATATACTGTAAACAGTTCTATAGTAAATAATCATCTTAAAATCTTCCACACAGGTTCATGGTCATTTTCAAAGCCCCATATTCATGTGTCTGTTACTATATGTTCCTCCCTCAGAATTTATAGCATCATGATGCTTGTACTTAAGGTTAATGAGATTAAAAAGAGTTGAGGATAACTGGCCACTCAACTCCCTTTTCTAGTTTAACCTTTACTCTTTATAGCTTGTCATTCTTTTGAAATCCTTACATAAAGTGTGGTGAGCCAAAAGCCAGTCCAAATATTAATTTTGGTTTGTTTCTTAAGTTGGAAAGTGAATCTTAACTTTATAAATTGAGTTTTCTTTAATGATGAAAATACAGAAATAGAAACAATGTTTTTATGATAAATTCTATTAATGCTGTATAAAAGAGAAGGAGATTAGAACTGAACCAAACTATTTGATTATACTTTGGAAATAAAATGTTTAGTAGGCATCAGTTTATCCTTGCTGTCTGTCTGTAACAAATGTAAGAATCAGACAAACTAATATTCTCTACAGCTGTGGGTACCGCAGAGTGAGCCTTGATGGTAACTGCATGTTGCTACAGACAGTTCAGCTTATGTGAGGGTAACCTGGGCTGGGCAGACTTGGCAGTTCACTCACATCCCAGAGGAGCAGCCAGCCAATGCGGTATCTGGGGGCTAGTGGCAGCTCCTGATCCTTAGGTGTTTATCAAATGATGCAAGAGGTAGTTAGCTCTCGAACAGAAAATGGCTTATGGACAACCGATGCCAGAATAAATGTTTCAAATTGTGGGATTTTTTTCTCTTTTCTTCTCCCCCTCTCCCTTTTTTTTTTGGAGAAATGCTGTATTTAACCACATTTGTCGTAGATATCTGTGTATCTTCCTTTCTCCCAGTTTTGTCCTCATTGGCCCAAATTTAGATTCTGAATTCTAAGACAAGGGATAAAATAGGAATGTGATTAGTTAACTTCTTTGATCCATAACCTAAGTGTATCAGGTAGTTCTGTGAAAATGTCATATTTCTTCTTCTATGTCAGAGTAAAGTACACATTTACATGTGAGTTTATTTATAGTCCATTGCCTTTTCTCAAAATAAACCTGGAATAGTAGGGTCCCTGGGGTTGCTAAACTACTGGATAGCTAATGACAGGTCAGCAGGACTAAACTTGAACTGAAGTGTTCTTTGTATAAGGTGATGAGTTTTTTACTTTCTGGATCAGAAATGATGGTTCCATGCTATGTAGAAATTTCATTTCTTTTTCCAAACTGCATTGGCAGAATAAGCTAACTTGTTATAGTGACTAAGACTGTTTTAAGAACTGTTAGGTCACAGTTCATGGTGATAAAAGCAATATATTTGAAGTACAGTGTCACACCTTTGTTTAAAGCATGCAGAAGATTTTTTTTTAGGGTCTGTATACTTAATCCAGACTTCATCAAGTTTTTCCAGGACTTACTTGCTCAGGATGGTAAAGGATTTTTGGTATATGTAAAGCTGGAGCCTTAGACAAGCTGTTTTGCCTTTTTGTCTTATTTATTTTCCCACAAGATAGATTATATCACTGGCAAAGGTAATTTTGCCTTACCCTGCATGAATTAGCATCCTTATTTTTGGATGGAACATTGCTAGTTCTTGATCTCAAAAAATAAATTGAAGGCAGAAAAATTAAAATGGAAGGGTAGATTATTGTCTCGTATGAAAACATTTAAACACTGCACGTACTTAGAATTCTCAGAATAACCATCTTTAATCTTTCATTCTAGGTCACGTCAAACTAACAGATTTTGGACTATGCAAAGAATCTATTCATGACGGAACAGTCACACACACATTTTGTGGAACAATAGAATACATGTGAGCTGCATGTTGAAAGAAATATTGCTGGTTTGGGGGCAATAGCTAACTTTTACCTGGTTTAAGGAATAAGTGTGCTGGATTTTCTGTTGCACTGTTTGATTCTCTATCTTGTAGAAATTTTGATTCAGATGATATGCAACTAGTGGGTTTCTTAGGTGTGTTATTTTCCTCTTTGTAGGGCCCCTGAGATCTTGATGAGAAGCGGCCACAACCGTGCTGTGGACTGGTGGAGTTTGGGAGCATTAATGTATGACATGCTGACTGGAGCAGTAGGTGCACAGTTAAAAGCTGCATGTATTATGGTCTGTGCTGAGTCGTTACGGAGTCAGTGCAGGAAGAGATGTTGCCTGTGCTTTTGGAAAATGTCACCCATGAAATTAGTTATTTTTCAATGAAGTTATTTTTAAAAATCTAATACTAGCAACGCTTTATTAGTGGTATTATGGGCCTCTGTACTTTTAGAAGTATTTTCATCTGTACTTTTAGAAGTATTTTCATTTAGATGATCTGTGTCATGGCCTGTGGTCCTATGAATCAGAGGCAAAACAAGTATTGCCCTTATTTTATAGATGGACAAAGTGAAGCATAAAATCACATGGCTCATACATTATCACACCAGGCTAATGGTAGAAAACCAGTTTCTTCCAGGACGTTGCTTTATCTCTGTGCCATTGCTTAAAAACTACAGCTCTTTAGCGGTCAGTCATCCCACATCAGAGCATATATTTCTGATCTCTGTGTAACTGACTAGTTCAGGAAATGGATAATTCTGTTATTTAAAATTTGATATTCTTTCCATGCTAATTTTTCTTACTGTCTTCTATTCTTAGCCCCCGTTCACTGGGGAGAATAGAAAGAAAACAATTGACAAAATCCTCAAATGTAAACTCAATTTGCCTCCCTACCTCACGCAAGAAGCCAGAGATCTGCTTAAAAAGGTAGGATTCTAAAATCAGCACTCAACCCATAAGTCTCAACTACTGGGATTTAAATAGACAGAACTGAATATACATTTTGAATATAGAATCATACATAGATGTTGACAAAAAAGCCTACAGTTTTTGCCTTCAAAGTACAAATGTGTTTATTTAAAGACTTTCTTTTCTTTTTATTCCCAGACAATGTTTGGAAGTAATTAATAAAGCATCAAGGCAAAATAGACCTGCAAGTTCTATAAAGAAAATTAATCAGTTTGATTAAGTTCATCAGTGTTTTTCTTTTCCTTCCTAAAAGCTGCTGAAAAGAAATGCTGCTTCTCGTCTTGGAGCTGGTCCTGGGGATGCTGGAGAAGTTCAGGTAGGGACTGGCATGTTTGGTGGTTTGAGGGGAAGAGAATGCCAATTTTGTACATTTGTGAAGGTTATATGTAGTTGCTCATAAGTATCTTATTTTGTGATTGGTAACTTCAAATAATCTGTTAATTTGTCAATCCAGTGAAGTCTGTTCCCCTTAATCTTTCTTCCTGATTTTTTGTTTCATTTTTTCCCAGGCTCATCCATTCTTCAGACATATTAACTGGGAAGAACTGCTGGCTCGGAAGGTGGAGCCCCCCTTCAAGCCTCTTTTGGTGTGTATTCATGAAAGCATGTAATTTGAGAGCCCTGGTACTTTTTTAGAATAAGAAAATCTCAGACCAGTTAGTAATATTTATTAATGATATGAAAACCTTTGGCCCATCCTCTTTTCTCTTCAGAATCTGTATTCTGCAGTCTTTTAAGGAACTACATCAGCAATTAATGACTATATTAACTGGTTTTAAGTTGGTTGCCTAAGATAATTAAATAGCTTAAGTAATTGGGACTTTTTAGTTTTCTTGCTTTGTTTTGTTTTGCTTAACTCAGCCCATTTTAAATTTGCTTTCATATAGCAAGGTATCATAAACTAGGTGGCTTAAACAGAAATTTACTGTGTTACAGTTCTGGAGGCTAGAAGTTCAACATCAAGGTATTGTCAGGGTTGGTTGTTGATACAGGCTGTGAGAGACTGTTTATGCTTATCTGCTAGCCTTTGCTGGTTTGCTGGCAATCCTTGGCATTTCTTGGCTTGTAGGTACATCATCCTATCTTTGCCTTCATGTTCATGTGGCATTCTCCTTGTGTGTAGATCTGCATCCAAATTTTCCATTTTTGTAAGGACACCAGTCATATTGGATTAGGATCCCTCCCTACTCCAGTATTATCTGACCTTAACTAGTTACCTCTGTGACAGACTTCATTCCAAACAAGGTTACATTCTGAGGTCCTGGGTTAGAACTTCGCCATGTGAACGTTGGAGGGACACCATTCAAACCATAACAATACGTTTATAAGTGAATGAGTTAGTGTATTCTTCCTTTTTCCCACCTCAAGAATTTGAGAAAAGATGGTTTCGTTTTCTGTTTCTTGAAGCGGAGGAAAAGGAGTAGTCTAACAATGATGGTTATTTGGTCCTAGGAGCACAGGGGTTGCTTGCTTTAAAATTTCAACATATTTTAAAATTTAAAATTTGAACATAACTGTCAGGATAAAACCCTCATGTACCAACTGCCCAGCTTCAAAAATTATCAAGTCTTCTTGTTTAAACATAAACATAACCACCATGCTATCATCATAGCTAAAAAGCTAACAGTTTCCCCAGTTGTTTTTTTTTTCCCCTGTTGTTTTGATTCAATAAGGATTCAGTCAAGACCTGTATAGGTTGATTACTGTGTTTCTTAAGTCTCTCCATCCATAGATCAGTTCAGTCCCTCAGTCGTGTCCGACTCTTTGTGTCCCCATGGACTGTAGCATGTCAGACTTCCCTGTCCCATCACCAACTCCTGGAGCTTCCTCAGACTCATGTCCATCGAGTCAGTGATGCCATCCAACTGTCTCATCCTCTGTCGTCTTTTCCTCCTGCCTTCAGTCTTGCCCAGCATCAGGGTCTTTTCCAGTGAGACAGTTCTTCGCATCAGGTGGCCAAAGTATTGGAATTTCAGCTTCAGCAATCAATCCTTCCAGAGAACATTAAGGACTGATTTCCTTTAGGATTGACCAGTTTGATCTCCTTGCAGTCCGAGGGACTCTCAAGAGTCTTCTCCAACGCCACAGTTCAGAAGCATCAATTCTTCGGTGCTCAGCTTGCTTTATGGTCCAACTCTCACATCCATACATTATTACTGGAAAAACCATCGCTTTGACTAGACAGACCTGATATCTCCTCTCAATTCCTCCTTTGAGGACTTACTAAAGAAACTTTACCATTTGTCCTGTGCAGTTGCTCCTATTTTGATTTTGCTGGTTTTAACTCCATGGTGTGTCCTCAGCCATGTTCACCTGTTCCTCATATTTCTGAAAACTGATAGTATAGATTTAGTTTAGATCTGATTCAGATTAAATTTTTGGTGCTGTATATTTTGATCAGAAGATATAATGTGTACTTAAACATTTCAGTTTAACTTACTTAAATTACATGTTTAGTTCAGTTCAATTCAGTCGCTCAGTTGTGTCCAGCTCTTTGCGACCCCATGAATCACAGCACGCCAGGCCTCCCTGTCCCCCACCAACTCCCGGAGTTAGTGATGTTAGTGGTCATTAATCATTGCCTGTATCAGTGGTTCTCAGCCAGGGTTGATTTGGCAATGTCAGAGACAAGCTGCCACAACTTAGGGAGGGGTGCTACTGATGCTTATGGGTAGAGGCCAGAGATGCTGTTAAACGTCCTGTAATGCACTGGACAGCCAAGCCTCCTGCAACAAGAGTCATCAGGTCCAAAATGTCAGCAGTGCTCAGGCTGAGCATCTAGAGCCTAGTTAGTTCCGAGATTGCGTTAAGGGTTTGCAGAATTGTCCTATTCCAGTAATCGTTATTCATTCTTTGTTAGGTGGAATTGTCCTGTGAAAAGATCAGGACAATCAGTTGTTTGGTTACCTGAGGCACAGTTTGTATAGAAAAGGCAGGATAAATGTTTTCTTTCCCAGTTCTTGAAATAATGAATTAGTTCCCTAGCATCTTCCAAAACTGACCAATGAATTATGGGATTTTTTTTTTTACTACAATTATGAATTCATGCTGTTTAACATATTTAAGTTTTAATTCATTGCAGTTATTTTTATTGATGTTCAGCTTTTTCCATCTTTAGACATCTTTTCCATCCTGTTGGTTCTGAGGTTCTTTTTTTTTTTTGCTATACTGTGCAGCATATGGAATCTTACTTCCCCAACCAGGGATTGAACCTGTGCCGCTGGCAGTGGAAGCGCAGAGTCTTAACCACTGGACCACCAGGGAAGTCCTGGTTCCTGAGTTCCTTGACACAGCCACGAGTCTGATGTTGTACCAGAGAGAGGAAACAGATTGGGTAGTCAGATTTAGGTGATAATATTCCTTCACAAGAAAATATACTTAGGCAGAGCAGAATATTATTCTTGTTCCTAAAGAAATTTAAAGGAATGAAACAAGTTATGGGAAGAATCTTTTAACCAGAGCATGTTACTTTGTGTTTAAACTCTGCTTCAAGTTTTTTACAGCTTTGCCAATTCTGCAAATTGTCTATAAAAAGGGATTTAGCTAGGCACACTGAAGCTTTGTGAGAGGGGATGATTGATAGCCAGATTTTTGATAGAAATGATAACTAAAGATGTCATTTGACCTTTGATACTTTCTAGTTGTATTTATTTTTCAATCTGTGCCTGCTCAGGCTATTCTACTCTTATTACAGTCAAACCCTGAGAAAAGAGCTTTATCTGTAGCCTTCTCTAACGCATGTAATGCCTTTGATTGTTATGTATAATACAGTCTGTTCACCATTTTCTAATCGTTTTTCTTTATAAAGCAATCGGAAGAGGATGTGAGTCAGTTTGATTCCAAGTTTACACGTCAGACACCTGTTGACAGCCCAGATGACTCAGCTCTCAGTGAAAGTGCCAACCAGGTCTTCCTGGTAAGTAAAAGGCTTTCCCGTGCAGCCCTGGGAAATTTAGATATGAGGATGGGCCCTTTTCAATAAGAAAGTTAGAATGTAGATACCCTAAGTTGCTTTTTTTAAGTTACCCCCTTATGACTTATTGATGAGTAATTGATGTTGCATAACTCAGCATTCCATTTTAGCGATTAGAGTCAGAGTATATGATTCATTTTTTGAATAGGCCACTGACTTAAAATGTTTGGCTCAGCATCCTAACTGAAAGCCACACAGCCATAGCAGTAGGAGAAGAAGGGCTGATAGTAACTACTTTATTCCTGAAACAGCTAAAGATTTTTATCTGTAGGGGATTTTTAACCTGTTGATTTTAAATATTTGATGTCAAAATACATTGCTTCATGTGTGATTGTAAGCAAATGAACCCTAAGGAGGAAGTATCTGTATTGATTTATACTTTGTCTCCTCAGATAGAAAACCAGAACTTCTAGATTTTGATCAACAGAAATGATAGATTTATATCTGATGACCATCATTACATATTATTTGCCTAGTGCTTATTTTATTACTATAAGTACATGTCATTTGTTTCCTTTGTCATTTGTCATTATCTTTTATCATTTCTTTTTGGACTATCTCTAGGGAGAGTAGAACATGGGAAAAGTAATCATTTGGAAATTTTTTCTCCCTTGTTTATGAGTTCACAGGATTTGTCATTAACTTGATTCTCAAATCACAATGTAACACAGTATTGTATCTTTTGGGGCGGAGGGTCGATTCTGAAGTTAGCATGGAACACAGAAATCGTGTAAAATAACACTTAAATCACCATAGTACAGTATGCTTTTGAGTAAATGACATTGAATAGTAATAATTCTATAAATGTATGATTATATAGTAGTATAAGAATATAAGTGAAAAATATAATTTTATAGCATTTTAATTACTTAAGAAGGAAGATGAATGTCTACATGATTTGCAAAATTACTATATTCTCCCTTAGTAAAATCTCTCATTTAGGGGAGTAGGCATGATTCATTTTCATGTTGTTGTTGCTTTCTTTTTTTTCTTTCATTATGTGAAGTTTTCTTTTCTACTGATGTGGAATTTATACCTTTGATTCAACATACAGACCTTTTCTTCAGTTGAGCATTATGGAGTTTTAGCTAGTTTGACAATTTTTTCCCCCATTAAAAAGTCTAGAAACATCTTACCTTGCTACAAAGAAATCCAAAGTTGTGGTGGCAGAAGTTATGGAGCTAAGCTTTCATTCTGAGTTGTTGCGCTTCTCTTAATTATTTAAATTGAACAACTAATGAACACAAGAACAATTCATTTTTAGGTGGTAGCCAGAATTCTGTACACAAAGATCTCTTAAAACTAATTTAAAATAGTAACAGCTCACTTATCTGGGGATTGTGACTGTAGTAACTGCGGTTCAGTTAGTATTTTTTTTATTGAGAGATAACTGCTTTACAATATTGTATTGGTTTCTGTCATATAACAACGCAAATCAGCCATAATTATATATAGATGATCCTCTCTCTCTCAGCTTCCCCTCCCTCTCCCATCCCACCCCTTGTCGTCACAGAGGGCCAGTCTGGGCTCCCTGTGTTATTCAGCAGCTTCCCACTAGCTATCTATTTTACCCATGATAGTGTATATATGTCAGTGCTACTTTCTACCTTCTCCTTCCCCTGCCGTGTGCACAAGTCCATTCTCTACATCTGAGTCTCCATTCCTTCCCTACAAATAGGTTCGTCTGTACTATTTTTCTAGATTCCATAGGATAATTGCCTTACAATACTGTGTTGATTTCTGACATACAAAGCGTAAGTGTGTGTGTGTGTGTGTGTGTATATATATACCCTCTCTCTTGAGCCTCCCTCCCACCCACCCTCTAGTAGTTTAAATCCTAATAGAATTAAAGGATATTCAAAGATGATTAAGGCAGAGTCTGGTCCTCTTGGTAGTTAAGCTTCAGCCCACTAGAACATATGTGGAAATGGCCTTGGTGATCCACATGTAGCTGTCACAAAGTATGTGCTCTATAGAATTGCACCTTACTCTTCAGGACTTCACCCAAAGCCTTATTGAGTCTTTTTATAATAAGTCAAATGCCTGCGTATAGGTCACAAGGATAGGAAGATAGGTATAGGATTAACTGTTAAAGGGATGAACATTAACAGCAAGATTAATGATAGCTGGTAATCTAATAGCCAGATCCAAGAAAGAACTAAAGCTAACAAACTGCATTATTGCCTGTTAACACAATGTTGGCCCTTACTTGTCAGGAAAATCCAAATCTTTTCAATCATTGGCATAAAACCAGAAAGACCATATATGCCAAGTTAGAGAATTCTATTTTTAGTTCAGCCTAATGAGTTGCTTATATGTATGTGGCTAGAAGCAGTGGAATTTCTCTGCATTTCTCTTGGTATTTAACATCTTAATGTAGAGCCTGTACGTTTCCTGTTTTGTTCTACTTCTTTTAATACAGTGAAATTTTGTCTGCTGGCCTTTGGGGTTCAATAGAATTCTGCTGTCTTGGGGTCTATGCGTCTAGAAATGGCTGGAAGGAAGGTAATGGGTGTGAAATGAGATTGAGGAGGTTGGAGAGTAATCACATTGGTGATTTTAGGTGTACATCATTATCTTGGTGTGTCAGAGACTGAGCAGCCACCTTTTCTCGACATTCTGTAGTCCACTGTTACTGTCTTTCAGGGTTTTACATATGTGGCTCCATCTGTACTTGAAAGCGTGAAAGAAAAGTTTTCCTTTGAACCAAAAATCCGATCCCCTCGAAGATTTATTGGCAGCCCACGAACACCTGTCAGGTATTCAGACTTTGTTATTATTTTTTAATCTAGAAGAAAGCGCATTGTTTAAGAAATTTATGCCAAATAACATAAATGGAAAATTTGTCATCCTACTTGGTTGGCTTAAGCACAACATCTCTACCTTCTTATATTGCAAGTGATCCATCTGTGACTAATCAGTGAGAAAATGCTATATAGCTTGCCTTCCCTCCTGAAGGTGAGCTGCTGCACTGCAAAGTGTCCTCTTTAACCATTTGTTCAACATTTATTATGCACCAGGGGTTGTGCTGTGTGCTGGGGACACATGATTATGACAGGAATTGTCCTTGTCCTGATGAAGCTTACAATTTAGTGAGAGAGTCAAAACAAACAAAGAAGGAAATACAAAAAATATGTAATTACAAGTAGTGCCAAATGCTATATGAAAAAAAAAAATGTGTTAGTAGAATGCAGAAAATAACACGGGGGCGCCTATTCATGGAAGAGCTAGCCACACAAAACAAGAGAGGCACAGGGGTGCTAGAAGAAAGCTTGTGCAGAAGTTCTCAAGGAGGAAGCACTTGGCTGCCTTCTTGGAAATGAAAGGGCGGTCAACATTCCTGAACTGTGGTGAGTGAGGAAGGGAATGACAAAGGTTTGGAGAAATATTTTAAATGCAGTGAGCTGTTTTAAGTGGGGGAGTAAAATGATTTATTTTTTTTTTCTAAGTATCATTGATGGTTTTATGAGGGCAAGTGTGGAGGTTAAGAGACCAGTTAGGAAAGTAACAATTAGTCTAGGGGAGAGATGGCTCAACTTCTGCCTCTGTGCCAATCCATACAAAAAGGAAATTGAAAAAAAATCACCTGACCCCACTCGCTTTAAATGTAAGGGAAATGTTTCTTGTTGAGATAGTACTTGAGACAAATGATAGCTCTTCCTTGTCTTAAAGCCCAGTCAAATTTTCTCCTGGGGATTTCTGGGGAAGAGGTGCTTCAGCCAGCACGGCAAATCCGCAGACGCCTGTGGAATACCCGATGGAGACAAGTGGGATAGAGCAGATGGACGTGACGATGAGCGGGGAGGCTTCAGCACCGCTTCCAATACGACAGCCGAACTCCGGACCGTACAAAAAGCAAGCTTTTCCCATGATCTCCAAACGACCAGAGCACCTGCGTATGAATCTATGACAAAACAATGCTTTTAATGAATTGAAGGCAAAAAGGTGGGGAGGGGATGTGTGAGCATCCTGCAGGGTGAAACAGGAAGACTCAAAATGACAGTCTCGAAGAGTCAGTGTCATGACATAGAACACTTTGGACAGAGGAAAATTAAACATGGATTTTAAAAAATCAATCATGGTGCAAAAAAACTTAAGTGAAAATAGTATTGCGGAATTCTTAGGCACATCAATTATTGATTCCTAGCGACGTCGTCTCAACCTATCAAGGATTTTCATGTTGATGGCTTGAAACTGACAGTATTAAGGGTAGGATGTTGCTTCTGAATCACTGTTGAGTTCTGATTGTGTCGAAGAAGGGTTCTCCTTCCATTAGGCAAAGTATGAATTTGCCTATAATACTTGCAACTAAGGACAAATTAGCATGCAAGCTTGGTTAAACTTTCCAGCAACATGGAATCAAAGACGAAAAAAACTTATCAATTGATGTTTTACGTGCAACAACCTGAATCTTTTTTTTATATAAATATATATTTTTCAAATAGATTTTTGATTCAGCTCATTATGGAAAACATCCCAAACTTTAAAAATGCGAAATTATTGGTTGGTGTGAAGAAAGCCAGACAACTTCTGTTTCTTCTCTTGGTGAAATAAAAATGCAAATGAACCATTGTTAACCACAGCTGTGGCTCGTTTGAGGGATTGGGGTGGACTTGGGGTTTATTTTCAGTAACCCAGCTGCAATACCTGTCTGTAATACTAGGAGAAAAAAAAAAGAAGAATCTACTTAATCATTTCTATTTGCAGTACTGTTATGTGCTAAGCTTAACTGGAAGCCTTGGAATGGGCATAAGTTGTATGTCCTTCATTTCATCCTTATCCTGGGCCTGCATTGCACTGGAAAAATACCGCCACCTTATACCAGTATTTAGTTCAAGATGTCAAACGTGTTCAGCCGGTGGCTGAAGGACAGAAGCGAGTCAGGATAAAATGCATATCGTGGGGCGGCAGAGTGAGAGGAGGGGATCCAGGGGAAGAGGGTGTTGCCGTGGTCCACTCTCTTGTGTCTCATGTCTTTACAGCAATTTGGTAAGGTTTTAAGTTTTACTTCTTTTTACTGTTTTGGCTGTCTACCTTCCTTATATTTCTTCCTCGACGGTTTTAAAAGGAAAAAAGATATTTTTTTTCTCCTATATTGGGGCTACATTTTTTGATTATAAAAATATTTGATGGCCTTTTGATGAATGTCTTCCACAGTGAATAAAACTTAGTGGCTTAATTTAGGAAATATGCTAACAAGACACTATGTTTTTGCAGTTGTAACAAAGTACATAAGTGATTCACAGGTACAAAGAATAAAAATAAAGGTAACTCTACCTTTCTTAAATACTTCCTGCCTTAAAGAGAGCATTTCCATGACTGTAGATGGTGAAAGGGTTTAATATCTGCAGAGCTTTATAAAAATATATTTCAGTGCATACTGGTATAATAGATGATCATGCAGTTGCAGTTGAGTCTTATCACCTCCTTTTGTTTGTCTTTTATAATGTCTTCAGTCTGAGTGCGCAAAGTCAATTTGTAATATTTTGCAACCCTACAGTTTTTTTAAATAGATGCTGCTTGCTATGTTCTCCAGACCTTTTTGAGCCATAGGATCCAAGCCATAAAATTATTTATGCATGTTGAATTCAGCCAGAAAAGAGACAAGCTTTGCTTAAATGACAATTCAAGTGAGATAAGATGAAATCCTATGACATTAAACAAATGAAAAACCATGAAAAATGATTGGAAATACACTTTTTCAATTGTGGCAATAAACAATTGGTAACAGCTCATCTTTGGACAGAAAGTTTTTTTTTTTTTAAATCCCTCCCTCTAGACCCCCTCTTCCCTATTGCAGCAGTGTACTGAATTTATAACTGTAGCTAGTAATGAGAAGCTACAGTAATGAGGGCAGAAATTGTACTTAAAGTGCAGGTCTTTACGATGTCTAAAAAAGACAGAACCCAAAAAGCTATGGTGATAGATACAGGCTTCATTTCAGACTGTAAATGACTTGTCCTACTCTGACACTTGTTTCAAATATGTTTACTGTTAATATTGTGTTGACTGCCTGACCAAATTCCAGTTAAAGTTTTACACCACAATATTCCTCCTCAGTCCTATTTGCTAGTAACATTTGCATTGTGATTGCCTGGCTGTAACCACCCCACAGTTAAACCATTTTCATAATTAGTACTGCCAGCAGTAGTGGCAAGCACTGTAACTTCCTGCATAAAAAGCATTAATTTCATACCTACCATCCATACAGATAACAGCTTTTCAAACTTTAAATTAATTTTCTATACTGTGGCAGGTTTATTGAGAAATTTCATAAATGGATATCCCTACTATGACTGTGAAAACTTGTCAAGTGCCACTTTAGTGTCACAGACAGAAAGCACACACCTATGCAATATGGCTTACCTTATATTTATTTGTAAAAAACCCAAGCATAGTTTAAAATATATGTCAATAATACTAGTCTTTTGAGTTTCTGAAAGGGTTCTTTATTATTCCAGGTAAGTGTATAAAGAGATTTAAGTGTTTTTCTTTCATCACTTATTTTCTTTAAAATCAGCTATTTACAGGATATTTTTTTATTTTATACATGCTGTTTTTTAATTAAAATATAATCACTGAGAACTGAAGTTTACTAATTTTGATTTTATAAGGTTTGTAGCATTATAGAATAAACTGGGATTTATAAACCAGCTGTGATTAACAATGTAAAGTATTAATTATTGAACCAGATTTTTAGGAAAATTGTTATTTCTTTTTCTCCTTTATGGTCTTAACTAATTTGAATCCTTCAAGAATTTTTCCATACTATTTTTTGAGATAGAAGGTAATGGGGGGGGGGGGAAGAATGCATGTATGGTACTCCATAAATTCAACATTCTTTAAGAAATACACGATTATAAATAAACTGCATCCAAGCCTTGGATTTTATATTTAAAATAGGACCTAACTATTTTGGTTATTCAGTCATGTGGTTCCTAGCTTATAAGGGCTAGATCTAAGATTATTCTCATGAGAAATGTTGAATTTATGAAGAATGGATTTTGAGGCTCTGAAAATGGTTAGTTTCTGAAATATAAACATCAATGTCCAAACATCTACCTTCTTTCCATAGGAGTAGACGCTAGCGAGCTGGACAGAATAATCATAGCGTATCTGTCCCACCATGACCTGTGGTCTGTGGCTGACTGACACACAGTTCTTCGCGTGTGATTCTTAGTTTACACTACAGCACAAGCATTCTCTCAGTGGGTTCTCTGAAGTGACATTTGAAAGAGGGGCTCATCTGTGCTGCTCTTTTAAAACTTTTTTTTTCCCTACCCCAAGTTGGCTTTGCATCTACCAGAGTAAATAAATTCTTCAGCTGCCTTATTAGGAGTGCTTTGAGGGTAACACCTTTTCTGCTTTTCATCTTGTGTTTACTGTATTAAAGTATTTGATTTCAGATTGAATGAATGTAAATAGAAATTAAATGAAAATTTGAATGAACATAAAATAGAAGTGATTTTTTTATTATTATTACCCTAAGATAGGAAGAAATAACTATCAGATATACAAGTGGTTTCAATAATTCTTCCCATTCATATGCTAGATGTGTTCAGGTTCTCATATTTAATAAACTATATATATGTAAAGAATAACAGTTGTAAAAATTGCTTTTGTGGAGAAACTGAAGGAACAAATTTGTAACAAGTTTTAGTACTGATTTTATTAGGTGTTAAACATCTATGATTTCCAAGTTCTGTCAAAATAGTAGAATGTGATTGGTTGCTTAAAAAAAAGTTCATGTGAAAAATTATGTGAAAGCCAGATTCACATAAAAACACTGAAAGACTTTCTTGTGCTATAACATTCAACAGTTTTTTCAGCCACGTTTGCCAACTTCATTATTTGATGTGTATGCACAAGATAACTTAGTGGACAAATCTGTTTTTAACTAATATCTCAATATATCTGCTGTAAGATGGGTGTTTTGTGTAAACCATCTCTTATTTATGAGGTAATTCAATCACATTTGCCAATATAGTTTCTCTATAGAAGTTCTCAAATGGACTTTTTTTTATAAAACAGTAGTGACTCTTGATGTTGATAAAAGTCTTTTAGAGGGTATGGTCTGAACTCACAGAATCAATGGGTTCTAATTCCCGTTTTTGAGATGAAGGAATAAAAGTGCAGAAATGCCTCCAGTTCATCAGTGCTATCAGTGAACAGCACAGCGCTCCTGCTACATTTCCCTCCTTCTCAGTTCATACGTGAAGTGCTTTCCACTCTCCACCACAGTCTTTTGTTATTCAATCATATTCAGAAACAGAGCTGTCCATATGGCCATAGGGTAAGTAGGTATTGTGTTAGGGCTGAAGTAACTCTTAGGTTTTTACCAAGAAGTCAGCATATTTTTTACACCCAAATTCTAATCTCAAACTGTCTTTCTTAACTCATCCCTTGCTGTATACCCAAATAACAACTACTGGCTTCATCACAAAATTAGGAAGGTGATTTAAAGCCAAGTAAGCTTGTTTTTTTTTAATATTTGCAGTGGTTCTCAAAGTAGGTAACATAGTTAAAAGTATATCATCCTGAATGAACAGAAATAGTTGTACTTATAACCTAGCAGGGGGAAAAGTTAGGTTTTCTAATGTCCTTTTGTCAGTTTGGGTAGCCATGAGGCATGAAAATGACTTAACCTGTATCTGGTTGGTCACTATCCTTATTAATCCATGTTGGTGTAGTCTTTGTCTTACCAGCGTTGTAAATTTCTGAAAAATTTCTGCCTCTACCCCCTAAATTCTCCTCCTCACCACTGTCTTTTTTTCTTGTATGCAAACTGATAGATGGTAAATGAGAAAATAAGTAGAGGCCTCACATCAAGATGTAGATAATAACCAGTCCTTCAGACTTGTTACAGATCTTGATTCCCTCATGAGGTTTCAAGGGGAGACAGGAACCGCCTCTCTTTCCCTTTGCACCACCCTGCACAAATACCTGTAGGCAAACAAACCACTCTCCAAAGTTTCATTGGCCTGTGTACAAGCTTTAATTTCCCAAGTAATGATTCAAGCATGAGGTTTCAAAACTTCTAGAGAAGCTAGTATAAGGGAAGTTCTTTTTTAACAAAATTTTTTGGGCCAGGTGGCATGCAGGACCTTAGTTCCCCAACCAGGGTTTGAACCCACACCACCTGGATTGGAAGCGCAGAGTCTTAACCACGGACCATCAGGGAAGACCTGGGGAATTCTTTTCTAACAGTTTGAGTTGGTCTTATTTGTCACACTATTCAAATCATCACTGAAACCAGCTGTATGTAATTCATGTGAATTATTTTAATAGTTAATTCTAGAAAGTCCATGGCACTATACAAAAAGCAAAATCATGAACATTAAAGCTGAGGGCAAGATTGTATTATGTCCAAAAAGAAAAGGAATTTGTCATTTATTCTCAATGACTGCTAATCATACGTGGGGAAGAGAATAACACAATACTAAAATATTTCATCCTCCGTAAATTAGTCTTCCTTAGAAAATTCTGATTGTGCAGGTAAAATATAGCATTTATAGCTTTCATTTAAAAATATAAGTTTTAGGAAAAAATTTAGGATTTTTAGAATGAGAATTATAAAAGTCAATGCTAAAGAAAATTCTACTTTCAGGTAATGTGTATCTTAAAATATTATGAAAAATACTCTTTATTCTGAAAACAGTGTCTGGAAAGAATACCTGAATTCCTCTAAAACCACTAGTTGTCATTTTGGTAACATTAACAAGAAAACACATTTACAATGTAACACTGTCATCATAGGTCAAATAAGGACAGAATAAATGCTGCATATGCATTAGGCTGAACATTACTTACATAATATATCATCTTTCATTTCATATTTTGATAAACTGGACTACACACCTAACTATAATACTCTAAAACCATTTGGGAATATTTTCCTTAACTTCCAGCCCTGAAAATCCATTCTAATGTCTTTACCAGTAGTCACTGTAACCAAATAAAATTAGTGTTTTGTGGCCTTAGTATTAAGTTGAAAACCTAGTATATCTGAAGGTGTGATGAAGTGGCGCCATCTTTCCACTTGTTTATATGGTCTGAGATCACAGTTCTGCACAGCGGACAGGTCTTCTCTCTGTTAAACCACAAGGTGATGCACTCTTCACAAAATATATGCTGTAAGGGAATTAAGAACCAGGTTTTATAGTTGGTAACATTTTAACTTTACATGCATCACATTGCAGAAAAACAGTTCATTTTACAAGCAAGACAACAAAGAACATTCAAGAAGACAAAGAGCAGTGTTAGTGGCAGAGACAGGTATTCTGACTCGTCCTATTCATTTAACCACCTTTAATAAAATACAAGTTATATTTAGATGATGACTTTAAGATCAAGGATAATTACTAAAAGGAGATGAGGGCTCAGTCCCTGGTTGGGAAGATCCTCTGGGGAAGGAGACAGCAGCCCACACCTGTCTTGCCTGGGAGACCCCACATGCAGAGGAGCCTGGCTGGCTGCAGTCCACCGGGTTGCAAAAGACGCAGACACAGGTTTGCGACCAAACGACAACATGACTAACAGCTTAATACAGTCTTTTGAGAGTTATAGGAATAAAATAACAGGAAATGGCCTTATACAAGCCAATAACATGCTGGTATTCTTAAAGACTAGTATTCCATTATTAAAAATTATCTGTTTTCCAGTCACTTTGGTATCCTGTCTGCGATCCCTTCATACACCCTTCTACATAAAAATCATTAGAACATAAGGGACAAAACTTAGCTAACCTACCAAACCCCCAATCACAAATAAGAAATTCATAGTATGTGCCCTGAATACTACTTTCTGCTAAACAATATACATATTTTTTCCTGAAAATTAACATAAATGTGACTTTTGCAAGTCCAGAGAACTGCTGTATTAAGGTTGCTTAAAAATAGAGTTACCTGACAGATGAGAAGAATTGGCTTTTGAAATTCAGCTTGACATATTGAACAAATATCATCCACGTCTGAACACTGTCTCTTGCTGGCAGGGACTCCGTAACTCTATATAAAGATAAAAAGGTTCTGTTCCTTAAATACATAATAGGTGATACTGTATTTCTCAAATCTCCAAGGAACTAGGCATTTGAAAACTTTCCCAAAGGATATAAACATTTCAAAGCTGATCTATGTATGCAGAATCATGTCTGCATCAAGGTGAACTCATTACATTATACATAATAGAATCTTGGAAGATTGTTAGATTCATTGGATTCCCAAATAATGATAGTGCTTCAAATTCAAATGGTTTAAGAGACTAAGCAATGTGACATATACCTAAGCATTATGCAATCTATATTCATGTACTATGTAACCCAGTATTGCCAAATTGAGCCCACTTACTACCTATGACACTGGCTTAAAGTCAATTCTGAGCCTGGTTGGCTGAATGTAACTTATGTAGAGACTGATTTAGATTTCTGTGCTCCACATTGGAGACTGACTGAATAGGTCCAGAAATTCTAGAAGGTAACCCAGAAATCTAATTTTTGAAAGCTTTCGATGTGAGTTCAACATGAAGAAGATATGGGGACCACTAAACAGTGTCCTGCCACTAAATCTAAAAATTTTAATTACCACAAAAACCAGCATTTAGTACTAGTAAAGAATGATAAAATTTTACAAAAGAACTAATTGCAAAACGTCACTTGGGTAGCACTCTACTGTCAAAACAACACAAATCTTTGAATTTCCTTTTCGAAAGTCCTAAAAAAAGTTTCTGATCTTGTTAAGATCTTATAACTTCCTTACAAATTCAGTAGAATTTAGTCATTGACTGGGTATGACAAACTATTATAAATGAGATCATCTTTCTGTAGAAATGATGTGGAAAAAGTAGCTGAAGAAAAGAACACCCAAGTTTCAGTCACAGTCATGAGACCAAAAGCATGACATGACTTAGCAACCTGAGGCTATGATCTAAACTTACTTTCGAAGGTTAACAAAATCAAAACTCAAAGGATATAAACTGAAAATTAAGATTTTTTGAGATCAGTGATGTTAAAGATTCTAGAAATAAGATACTGATGGATGATCTTGATGCCAATTTCCCTTCAGTAAATGTCATTTAGCAGAGTACACCGCACATGTGTATGCTGACAAGCTTTTAAAACAGCACTCTCGTCTGGCACAATGCAGACTCCCTTCAGGTGAAAATTTCCTGATGATGATTGCCATTTCAAGGGCAACATTAAGGAACATAAGAATCTCAAGAATAAAACAGTGTTGGTGACTGATAGTCTCTTAATGCTTCACGGAGAAAGAATACCAAAGGCATTTCAGCTCAAGCTCTATTAGATTAATTGCTATGGCAGAAGCCTAATACAAACATAATTAATTATGTACTCAATAGCTAAATTCAAAAGCTAAAGTCTGGATTTTATTTTATCTTTTTAGAGAAAGAAGTCTGAATAGGATGCAGTGAAACTTGTTACTATGTTACTATCTTAGGGAAAGGGTGCCCTGGCCAGTTAGTTTAGTCCACTTCACTGGTAAAATCCTGTTGTTTTTTCAAACATACATTATTAGATTGGCATTCTTGTAAGTCAGAGTCTCCTCAGTCCTGACCACTTAATTGCTGAAATACCTAATGGACTCTATAACTGAGAATCAAACTCTGAAATCTGGTGATCACACTTACATACTGAGAACCTCTGAGGCTAATAAATAGCAAATGAACCATTATCACTTGAGCTATGACAGACACCCTTTCTCTGCAGTTTGTTACATCAGTAGAATCATTGATGTATAATAAAGTTATAACTGACAGTGGAATCTCTGTTTAAAATTCTATTTTTTGTTAAGTTTACTGATACTGTCAAGAACTTATTTGTGCATACAGAATTCAGTATTGGGGAAATTTTTCCAGTAAGAAAATTCCAAGGGACATGATTTTTGATAGTAAGCTTTCTTATACACAATAAATTATAAGCACTTTAACAGAAGCTGAACAGGAGTTAATGAAAACACACAAAACCACTAATTGTGGATTAAAAGAGGAACAAAAGTTCATATGATTTGTGAGGGAATGTTTATAAACGGGTTAAAAATGTCAGACAATTTGAAAGGGCAAGAGGCACACTCAAATACATAATTACTTCATCAACCATCAGGTGGTGTCAATGCACAAGAAACGGGTCACAGAAATAAAACCTCTTTATCATCATAACCCCAAGTGCCAAAGTACTAGACGTATTTCAAACAATCATGTAATATAAGTCTGCATTTGTAAAACTGCAGGACTAAAACAATTTTATAATGAAGAAAGGTAAAAAGTTTCCTATGATAAAAAATACTTACTGGTCGTGTAACAAATATTCGCAAAACCCGTCTGAAAGTTCTCAGGTGTCCAAAAAAGTCCAGAAGCTGAAAGGGAAAATAAGTCCTAATTCATTAATTCAGAGAGCCATCCTGTTAAACTTAGAGATCAATGCTAACATCAAACACTGCTATTAACAATGCTCATTGCATATCACAACTAATCATTTCATTCTAAATATATTTAAAGTCCAATTATGGGATATTTTACTCAACTTATCAATTTCAGCCAACTCGTAACCAAAATGAAGTACATCTGAATGCCTAGAGTTACAACTGGGTCAAGACAAATACATACTTAACTAAATCAAAGGCAAGGCAATTTTACCTGGTTCACACGTCCTTAACATATTTAAAGTTTCATAAAGTGACTAAGTTGAGGGGACAGGACAAGATACTCCACTAGTTTGAGAATGAGGTACCTGATAGATGCTACTGATGGGGGTGGGTATGTTCTCTTCTACTCATTCTCTCCCTCAGATACTCCATGCTACATGGAGGTCCACCCCCCCAATAAAATCTGAGAACCACTGGATTAAGGTAAAGATATCTATTTCCTTTTCTGCATTTCTAAGTATAGAATCTGCCATTTATTTCAAACTAGTGATATGAAGATAAACTATAAAACAGAGACAAAATCAGTTATAGGTAAAATCTGTCAACATTATTACATGAGTCATTATAAATGACAAAATTTATTGTGTTACCTACTTTTAGTATGAGGTAGAGTAAAGCCAGCAATATCCCAAGACTCCATCTAGTTACATTATCAAACTCCCCACAGCTCGTAAGGTAACGAAACCAAACTGGTATGGGAACAAAAGTTCGGTAATACTGACATAATTCTTCTAAAAGCATATACCAATAACCCTAAAAAGGAAGGAAAAACAGAGCCAACAAAGCTACTTATATACACAGCACAAATACTCCACACTGCACTGAGAACATCATGAGTATATGGCACAATAACACAACTATAAAATTAGTATTCATAATGATAATGGTTATGACTGACAACCTCAACTTGGTTCTTCGATGTTACAGTCACTGGTTTGTTTTCAAAAAATTTCTAGAGAGTGACAGTGAAAATGTTTTACATACAATAAAATATCTTCCTGACTACAAAAATTTAAAGTTTTAACTGAATATGAAAAAACACCAAATAACTGCATATAGTCAGTTATCAATTATCAATTAATAATGCCCTGGAGGAAAACAGAAGTATAAATGTAAATATTTTCCTATATATGATATGGGGACTGATTTTTAGATTATTCCAAAGCAAGTATAATTGATTTTATTGGAATAGATGTTTTGTTTCAAAAGGTGTGAGATAATATAATAATTACATTATTGAGCAAACTGGAAAATTAGAAAAAGAATCATTAAGACTAAATGGATGAGATGGTTGGATGGCATCACCGACTCAATGCACTTGGGTTTGGGTAGACTCCAGGAGTTGGTGATGGACAGGGAGGCCTGGCGTGCTGTGGTTCATGGGGTCGCAGAGTCAGACATGACTGAGCGACTGAACTGAACTGAAGCACTGATACTGTTTGCTAACATCTTTCCCATAAAACATAATTAGATTCTTACCTTGGATTTAAAAGGCATGATGAAAGAAGGCACCAATAAAATAAGGCATTTTAAGCCCATGAAGAAGAATTTCAGAATGAAGTCTGTAATTCCAACAACCCAAAGTACTTCCCAGAAGCTTGAATAGTCCAAAGTAGGATTTAAAAAAATTAAGCTACCAAGAGAAGAAAAACACAAAACTTACTAAAAGCAACATAAAAAGATAAAACCGTCAAAACTTAACTAAAAGCAACATAAAAATATAAAAGTGCTGACAGGGGTTCTAAATTTGCTACCAAATAATGTGTAAAAAATCTGAGTTTGACAAGATGCTAGAATTTACGTAAACAGATTATTTTGGTTATTTTAAAGAGACTTTTTAAATGCTTGAATTTCACATCTTTCTTCCTTAAAGAAAACGAAGAGTCTTCCTAACTTGTCATGATTGACATCCTCTAACCTGTAATCTAAAAAATTCACAGATAATAGATATTTGTCATTCTCTCCTTAACCAACTCGAGTCAGGATTCTCATCCCTCCTTTCCAGTGAACTGCTTCTGTCAAGATCATCAACTCCCTCCGTCTTGCTAAATCTGAAGATCACGCCCCCCTTTCCTCCTCAAAGCATCCTCTACCTAGACTTCTAGCGCCGCTCTCTTCTGGACGCCCTCGTGTGGTCTGCTTGTTCTTAATGGTCGCTTCTGAAGTCTGCTTTGCTGCTGCTCCTCTGGCTAACGGTGGACACTGTCCAGTCCCAGGCCCTCGGTCTGTGCTTTCTTCCCTGGTTCGTCTTGTCAAGTTCCACATTTTTAAAATATCCACCATGTGCCGATAACACCAAAATTTACAGCAGCTCTAACCTCTGCTCTGAGCTTATGACAAATAACTATGATCATTTTAACAGTTCTACATGGACTCTCAAACTTAACATGTTCAAAACAAAATTACTGATTTTCCTTCAAAACCACTTCCTTCCCCAGTCTTTCCTAGCCCAGTAAATGGCACCACCATCCAGCCAGTTGCTTAGACTAAAAAACCCAGGCATCACCCTTGATTCTTTCCCTCACCCACCAACCCAATCCGAGTGGTATCAGCTACACCTACAAACTATATACCAGATTTGTCCACATCTCTCCAACACCACTGAAACCCAGATTTCTAGTTATCTGATTAAAGCTGAAAATTCAGAACACTTCCATTTAACATGGAAACTTATCAACTACTGTTCTTTAGCAAGTCTTCTTCTAGAAACAAATATCAAGTGTTCTCATCACATATACACACAAGAAGGTAACTAAGGGAGGTAATGGATATATTAACTTGATTGTGGTAATCATTTCACAATGTATACATATATCAAAACATGTTGTATATTTTAAATATATACAGTTTTTATTTGTCAAAAATAAAAAAGGTCACCAACAGCAATCTAATGATATTTAGTAACTATTGATTACATAAGTAAAAATTTTAGTATCAAAAATAATTTATTGAGCACCTGCTATGAGGCAAGACATTGGGTATAAAACATGAATAAATCACTTTAAGCTCACTATCCTGGAACTAGACAAATACATAAAAATTGAATTCCAAAAGTAAGTATGTGCAAGTAAAATATATGTAAAGTGCTATGGAATATAATGATTATATAAAAAAAATGTGATTGTGCACTTGGGCCTCTAATTACCTGTAATAAAGTGACTGAGAATGAAAGGTGTAATATAAAAGAACAGAAGATCCTGCTAAGAATACCAGTAACCAAGCACACTGAATCTTTGAGCACCTTTCCTGAAAAATAAATAATTTTATAATTCATTACTTTGAATTATGCCAGAATTTTAAATAGCATTTAACTATTTTACTTTAATGACTAATTAACTTGAAATGTTTTAATAGATTAATTTATCTTAATAAAAATATAGAGTATTTGTTAAATTGTAAATATCATTCTATTTTATATAGCTTTAATGAACAAAACAACACAAATTTAAACAGATTTTTAAAATACAAGTTTCCTCGTTGTGTAACAACATTACCTATGTTTCAAAGCCAAATCTTCTACAAACTGATATAAATAACCCACCTAAATGAAAACTTTACTTCTGCAGCTCCCTATATTTGCCTTCCTAACAAAACAGGCGTGTAGAAAATGCATTAAGTTATCAGGGTTTATAATTTTAAAAATTCTCATACAATTCAGTAAGAATAATTTGTTTTTAATCTGTTTTAAAATTAAGTTTTAATTACTAGTTTAATTAAAAGTTTTACTAGTTTTAAACCCTAAATTTTTAATTAAAAATTAAATTTTTATGGTTTGATAGGTTGTAACTACAAACATTCAGGTCAAAATATATGATTCTTTACACAGATATAACCCTTTAAAGTTGCTTGAAGGTGAAATTTTATAAACTAATTCTGTTTTCCCAATAATTTACAAGAATAGGACTCTGACAATTAAGAAAAAACTTCTTGGGTTTAGTTTTCTTTAAATAAGAGAAACCTAAATAATTCAATACCCATTTGTTCAGTGTACACTTTTAAGTATTTTAAATCTTAGAGTACAATGGCTGAAGTTTTAAATAATGATCATATTACTCAGTATAGTCAAATTAACTTAAAACATGAAAGCACTTGACAAATCAGACCATACTGTGATCTGTTTAGGTTTTAATCCTTCTGTCTAGTTTTTATTTATCAGGAACCCAACATACAAAGAAAATACGGTGAAACAATTCAGTATTAGGACAAATCATTTATTCCAGGTCATTTAGATAACATTTAATATATTATGGATGTCACATTATACCTATTTAAATTTATCAAACTATCTTAATTCCTATTTCCTCTCAAAAATGAGCATATAATTCTACAGGGAGAAACATTTAATGATTTTTTAGTTGCTGGTTATACTTACTCTTAGAAAAACCTGATTTACAATGCTTTTGTTTGCATATATAAAAGTTGTAAGCAGCCCAATTCCAAGAGAAATTCCTGTTAGAAAATAAGGTCCAGTTAATTTAAATTTTTAAAAAAAGAGCTAACACAATGACATGATTTTAAAGGAAGCATATACAATTTTAAAAGCTAACAGAAAATAAGAAACTGAAATACATGAAGTAGATTACCAATAGAAAATTAGTTAAAAAAAGAAAATTAGCTGAATATAGCAATGAAACAACTCAATGCTTTATCATACCCTACCTGTTATATGCTGCATAACAAGTTTGACACCCAGAATCAAAATATATGGAAGACTCTTCTGCAACCACTTGAAGAGATACCGGAATTCTGAGAAGGAGCTGCTACCATGATCTCCATACTCCGTGTCGCTATCATCAGACTGCCTGGCTTCATTGTGGGAGTGGCTCCGTAAGCGACTATGTACACATCCATGCGTACAGCTGTGGACACCTGACCTTGTATTTCTGGAGCCTGGATTTTCAGCACATTCTTTAGGTAGGGAGCTTATCTGGATATGAACATCTCCAGAATAAAGACAGGAAGCTTCTCCTGTCAGTCTTGTTTGGACACATTGGGAGGCTGAGGCATTCTCACCGCCTGCAGCTCCTGCAGGGCTGTGCAGTTGACTACAGTTGGCTTGCATGGCCCTTGAATACTTGTTCTGTGGTTTCTTTGCTTCAGGGCACTGTCTCCTAAAAAATCAAAGAGCAGAAAATATTCTAAGTGAACAGTTAAGTACAGGCAATATGTGGCTCACTAGGAACTGTTTATTAGCTAAAGGAGAGGCTGGTAATCAGAGCAGATGAGTTATTTTCAGGTTATCTAGCACTCGTCTCTAGACTCCTCCTTCCTCCCCACTGACGCGAAGGCTCTGCTGTCCGAGACTCCTCCTTCCTCCCCACTGACGCGAAGGCTCTGCTGTCCTGAGCAAACTACCTTTCGGGGAACATCTGCTACAGAAAAAGTTGTGCCTCCAGTTCTCTGACAGAAGGAAGTGGCAAAATACTCAAAGTATGGGTGCCCAGCAGATGTTAATAGTACTCATTCATACTAGAACACTCAGTACATTTACTCCGCTCAACTAGAAGAGTCAATATGTTTTTTTAATGCCTACATGGGCTAGGAAGAAAACGTCAAATCTTAACTCCGTATTAAGCAACATCATGCGTAACTAATACTAATAATAAACATTTCAATTCGGTGACTTACAAATTTCCTTTTATGCTGAAACAGCTTTCCCGAAGCTAATAAGAAAAGTTTCCAATAATAATTAACACCAAGAAATATTACCCTTCCCTGCCCCCCTCAAAAATATCTTTAAAATAAGACTTTGGGAGTCACCGTGTAATTGCTAAACTATTCTGAATAAGGATAATTACGTAGTCTGCACATTATAAATGAGACTCTGGAGGGGTGGGAAGTCCGGAAAGAAAACATCGGCATCCAAAGATCCCTAAATGACGAGTGTGGGTGGCCGTCAGAATCCAGTTGACGAAAAGCAGAGCCTTCCTGCCGTTTCCGTAGGAGGAAGCTGGGGTTAACCTCAGGGCAAGTTCCGTGTCATTCTATTTCATTTTTAGATCTGAATTTTTTTTTTTTTCAGTGACTGTTGGGCGGTTTGGTTTTTAGTGCTCTTCACCAAAGGCTTTCACCGATGCTCCAACAACACGACTGCCATTTATTTCCTCCAATCTCTGGAGACACACACAGCGGATGGGTCAGTTTCAGCGTCTTTTTCCATAAATAAAAACCGAGAACCCTCCCACTTCCCTTCAAGCATGAAGCAAGAAAGGGGAGAGAAAGGGAAGAAAAGTAAAATGCAAACGGCTCTTCAGGAATCTCCAGGACAGATTTTCCCACCCACGTTCGAGCTTCGAGTGCCTCTGTTATTCTCCCCAGAGCCCATTTCGCCGCGGCCCCTCGCCTCCTTCGCCCGCTTCCCCCAGGCCTGACCTCTCATGACGATGAGCGGACCAAGGCCCAAGCAGCGACGGCAGGAACAGCGGGAAACGCCGTCTCGAGGCCTTCGGTGGGAGCCATCACCTTCAGACCCCGTCGCAGGCAACTCTGGCCCAGCTCGGCGGCGGCGCGCGCGCTCCCGGACGTCCTCACGTGCGCGCGCCCCGCCCCCGCGCGACGCGCCGAGGGCCGGGCTGCGACGGCGGGGCGGGGCGGAGGCCACCGGTGGGTGTGGGCTGTGAAGAGAGGCGTGCGGCGGAGGACCGACCGCGGGCGTCGGCGTTAAACAATAAGCGTACGTGCGTCTGTTTGGAGCCTCCAGAACCTGCCCTCGAGGGAGGAGCCTGCAGTTGGGGGGCGGGCCTGGTCCCGCCCGGCTCGCCTGGCCCCTGGAGGCTGCTGTGCCCTTTGGTCGCGCTTGGCTCGCGTCCGGCGAAGCGTGAGGTGGAAGAGCCACGTCGGCGAGGGTCTGCGCGGCTCTGAGAGGGCGGGACGGGGCGGGAGCATTCTGGTGTCGGCCACCTCAGCTGACCCACTTGTGGCCGGTCGGTTAAGTTGTAACTGAACTGGGTTTTTGTTACATTCCTAAAGTTGCTCTGTGAGAACGAGGCCCTGGCGAAACCTGAGGAGATCAGGAGTGGGGGATGGTTTGGGAGAGAAGGGGTGGTGTAAGTATCAATAGAAGTTAAGAGTTTAAAAACCCTGTGGGGTGTAGAGAATGCTGTAGTATTTTCGCGGTATTTGTTAACCTACGGCTGTTTTAAAGTAAAAGATTTATTAAGGAAAACTTTAAACGAAAGAAACAAAAAAACCTTGCCTCTTGTTCCCGAGCCAGAATATATTTTAAATGATATTTAGCTGTATTCCATGAATCTGCCCCATTCGCGACAACTACCAATAGCCTTTCTGCTTTGAACCTTAAGTTTTTTACCTTTAATTTCTAGAAGTTGACGTCAAGTAAATCTTGGTGGTCTTTCTATAGGTCTTGAAATTAAATATTCCATGCCACTGGTGAGCTGTTCAGTCTTTCCTCACTAGAGGGTAAATTTCATACATACACACACATGTCATGAATTGAAAATCTGGTGGAAAAAGTGATACTTTTTTTTTTTGTTTGTTTGGTCTCGATTTAAATGGGGTCTCTGATTTAAAACCATTTAAAACCATTCACAGCATGGCTCAGAGGATAAAGAATCTGCCTGCAGTTGAAGAGACCCAGGTTGGATTCCTGGGTGGGGAAGATTCCCTGGAAAAGGGAATGGCCACCCACTCCAGAATTCTTGCCTGGGAAATCCCATGGACAGAGGAACCTGGTGGGACAGTCCATGGGGCGGCAGAGAGTCTGACACGACTGACCCACTAACACACACACCTTACACAACAGCTTTGCCCAAGTTAGTTTGATGGTGTGTGAGTTTTGAGGCTCCTTAATCATGAAATTGTGTGCACCTTATTTCTCCTGTATCAAGAGTACAGCTGAATTCACTATTTAACCTGAATTAACCACTTTGAAGATATACTTAAAAACAGATTATTTTTATTACCAGATCATTTCTTTTGGTTAAAAAGGCATTCCGCCTACTCCCCACAAGAGGTATTAAATCTGCTTCTGGTTGTCAATTAAGGTATTGCTAGATATTTTGTTTGTTTGTTTTGGTTTTCGTTTTCTGTTTGTTTTTTGATATAAGGCTCCATGAACTTCACAAAGTCTTCATGACAAATTAGGTTTCTTTTTCAGAAAGTCTTAGTCTGAGCTGCAGTAAGAATATAGCCTGGATGGCTTATAAACAACGAATTTATTTCTCACAGTTCAAGAGGCTGGGAAGTTCAAGATCAAGGTGTCGGCAGATTTGGTGTCTGGTGAGTTCCTGCTTCCTGGATTATAGATAGTTTTTTCTCTGGCTGTGTCCTTACATGGTGGGAAGGTGGTGGAGCTTTGGAAACTCTTTTATAAGAGCACTAATCACCTTCATGAGAGCCCTTTGTTAATGCTTTAATTATCTACTGCCACCTCTTTATACTGTCACATTGTGGATAAGGTTTCAACATAGGAGTTTTGTGGGAGACACAAGAATTAGGTCTGTAGCAAAGGCTGAAGCCAAGCTCTGGGTTATAATGAATTTTTAAGGAAACTTGTTTATGTAGTATACTATATCATTCCTACTACACCATGGATATTTTTATTTTAAATTTTAACATTTATGAGAATTTAGGAAACAGAAAAAATAGTCTCACATAATCCAGCTACACACAATGAGGCATCAATATGCTTTAGTACACTGATAATTTTAGTACATTTGCAAATATAGTACATTTATATACCTTAATATAATGTTTAAATTCTCATTTTAACATATTTATAATTTATTGAAGGTATGCTAGTTCATATTGAAAGTTTTGGTATACTTGAAACTGCATTCCACTCAACTTGACTAAAAAGTAACATTGAAAAAGAGTATTGAGTTAATGACAAGATTTGACAGTGACAGACTTATAAATTTTCTTTCCACTGTCATCTAGAATGTTGGAAATGGACGTTTTAATTGATAAATACTCCAAAACATTTGTTGAGTACTAACTGTCAAGAATTATAGTAGATTGTTGGAGACCTAGACATTAAAAGAGACATAATCCCCATCCCAAAGTGAAATATGTGGTTAGACAGGTCTTCAAGCAAGTAATTATAATGTATTGGAATAAACACTATAATTGAAGGTTGTGTGAGGTACAGTGGATGCAAGAAGTGGGAACATTTAACTTTGCCAGGCAAGAAATGCCTTATCAAATCTGTGATATTTAAGATGAACATTGAACTTTCCTGGCAATCCAATGGTTAACACTCTGTGCTTCCATTGCAGGGGCCATGGGTTCATCCCCTGGTCAGGGAACTAAGATCCCATATGCCGCGTTGTGTGGCCAAAGACAAAAAAGTTGCAGATTGAAGATTAAGTTGAAGTTTACCAGGATATAAGTAGTAGTAGGACATTTCAGATGAAAGCAATATGTGTAAAGTCATGGTATTGTAATTTCACAAGAATTGAGGGACTTAGTTTTTTGTTTCTGAAAGAGTAGGGTATATATGAGGGAAGAGTAAGAGTAAACAGGGGCTAGAAAATGAAAGATTCTGTGGGTCTCATTTAGGAATTTATTTTATAGTTTATTCACATGGCCAAAGAGAAGCTATTAAGTTTCAAGCAGCAGAGTTATGTGGCCAGATTTGTATGTTTCCAGAAAATTCCCACGCTAATAACTTACAACAATGCAAGCTCAATTGGGAGGCTGTTACAAGTAGTAGAGTAGGACATGAGAAGGTCTTGAACTTCTCAGTGAAGTGGGATTCTAGAGGAAGAATGAGTATGGAGAGAGAGGGGATAGAATCAATCGGATTAAGGGTGGTAGATAGTTACACTTCTCTTCTCGAGCTAGTTTTCCATACCTACCAGCACCCATATCCTTGGGTAGGCTTTTTGCAGGCTAACTCATGCAACTTATTCTGGCTACTTGCCCTCTTATTGCTGGCAACTCTTCTACCACCATGTAATCATTTTTTTTTTCCATTTATTTTTATTAGTTGGAGGCTAATTACTTTACAACATTGCAGTGGTTTTTGTCATACATTGAAATGAATTAGCCATGCACGTGTCTCTTTCAGATCTGGTTTCCTCGGTGTGTATGCCCAGAAGTGGGATTGCTGGGTCATATGGCAGTTCTATTTCCAGCTTTTTAAGGAATCTCCACATTGTTTTCCATAGCGGCTGTACTAGTTTGCATTCCCACCAACAGTGTAAGAGGGTTCCCTTTTTACCACCATGTAATCAAATTAGGGCTAGCCTCCTAGAAGATGAAGGACCACTTGAAGAGAGTCCACAGGTGTCTCAACCATCTTGGCCTCCTCAGTTGTGGCCCCAGACACACGTATGAGAGCATCCTAGACCTTCTAACCCCAACTAAGATGATTCAGACCAGAAAAATCAACCAGTCAACCCACAGAATCACAGGAAATAATAAATATTTTGTTTTAAGCCTCCAGATTCAGAGCAGTTTGTTTCATAATAAAAGTTAACTGATACCCTAAGTGACCAAGTAGATGTGAAGTGGGAAAGAAGTGTAAGATGCATCCCCTTTTCGTAGCTTGGGTGGATGGATAAATCAATTGGAATGCTATAAGTAGAAGAATAAGTATAAATATTAACAGAGAAGGCAATGGCACCCCACTCCAGTACTCTTGCCTGGAAAATCCCATGGACGGAGGAGCCTGGTAGGCTACAGTCCATGGGGTTGTGAAGAGTCGGACATGACTGAGCGACTTCACTTTCACTTTTCACTTTCATGCACTGGAGAAGGAAATGGCAGCCCATTCCAATATTCTTGCCTGGAGAATCCCAGGTACGGGAGCCTGGTGGACTGCCGTCTATGGGGTCACACAGAGTTGGACACGACTGACATGACTTAGCAACAGCAGCATAAATATTAGAATGAGTCATAGATCATATTACTAAAAAGAATAGGATATGCATTTTTTTTCTAAAAGTTTGGAGGGATAACAATACCTTCAACTTTGAAGTACTCAACCTTAGGAATCCATGGGACTCCTAAGGTGAAGATATTCAGTTGGCAGTTGAATATAAAGATCTGGAGATAGAAAATTTGGAATAAAAGCTGTAGCTGTGAATAACATCCTCATTTATTAGTCTTTGAAGCTCTTTTCCTTGGTATTTTAGACAGTGTTGTCTACAAATAGAGACAACCTCTTCCTTTTCAGTCTGTCTTTCTTTATCGTTTTTGCTGTAACTTTCATCACATGTTGAATAGGAAGGGTTCATGAATATTCATTAACCCTGAGTATTCATTGGGAGGACTGATGCTGAAGCTGAAACTCCAGTACTTTGGCCACCTGATGTGAAGAACTGACTCATTGGAAAAGACCCTGATGCTGGGAAAGACTGAAGCCAGGAGGAGAAGGGGACGACAGAGGATGAGATGGTTGGATGGCATCACCGACTCAATGGACATGAGTTTGAGTAAACTCCAGGAGTTGGCAATGGACAGGGAGGCCTGGCGTGCTGCAGTCCATGGGGTCATAGTGGTTGGACATGACTGAGTGACTGAACTGAACTGAGGAAGGGTTAGAGTTTCTTGATTTTAGGGGGAAGACATTCAGTCTTTCGCTATTGTGTTAGCTTTAGTTTTTCTTTTGTACATATTAATG